TATGCATATGCTTTTCATATTTCTTCTGTAAGAAACATTTCAATTTAGCCCTATCAATAAAGGCCAACTCTCACGAGTGTAAAGGGTTAATTTATTTTTTGGATCATTGCACAGTAGATTAGAGTGACAAGAAGTAACACAAACAACCTCTCTGACAAGGATTCTGTGTAGTTCTGACCACAAGACTCAGATACTAGCTATCCGAGAAACTGAAAGAGTGGCAGGAAGAGAGAGACACCTTCACATCTGCGATTAGGAGAATCTTAACAATATGCAATACAGAGTAAAATAATAAAACAAAACAAAACTCACTCCCTCTCCAACATGCCATGGACAGCACAGTAATTCTGTCCCTCTCTATCCACTAACCTGGGAGGTGGGCTGTGGGTCATAGATGGTAGTGATACTGTGTTCTAACAGCCCTCTGACTAACACGTCAAACTGTTTTTTGTACACTAACTTGCACTATCTCATGGTGATGATGAAGACAAAGAGGTTTGCAGTTGACTATATTTTGTCGTACATAATGATTAACCTAACACAGTGGTGGGAAAAGTACCCAGTTGTCATACTTGAGTAAAAGTAAAGATACATTAATAGAAAATGACTCAATTAAAAGTGAAAGTCACCCAGTAAAATATTACTTGAGTAAAAGTCTAAAAGTACTTGGTTTGAAATATACTTAAGAATCAAAAGTAAATGTAACTGCTAAAATATAATATAATAATAATATAATATGCCATTTAGCAGACGCTTTTATCCAAAGCGACTTACAGTCATGCGTGCATACATTTTAGTGTATGGGTGGTCCCGGGGATCGAACCCACTACCTTGGCGTTACAAGCGCCGTGCTCTACTTAAGTATCAAAAGTAAAAGTAAAAGTTCCTTATATTAAGCAAGCCAGATGGCACCATTTTCTTGTTTTTTACATTTACGGATAGCCAGGGTATATCTCCAACACTCAGACATCATTTACAAATGAAGCATTTATGTTTAGTGAGTCCGCCAGATCAGAGGCAGTAGGGATGACCAGGTATGTTCTCTTGAGAAGTGTGTGAATTTGACAATTTTCCTGTCCTGCTAAGCATTTAAAATGTAACGAGTACTTTTGGGTGTCAGGGAAAATGTATGGAGTAAAAAGTACAATATTTCTTGTAGTGAAGTAAAAGTAAAAGTTGTCAAAATACAGATACCCCAAAATCTACTTAAGTATTTTTACTTAAGTACTTTACACCACTGACCTAACACATAGTTTATCAGTAGGGAATAATTTTTTCAGATACACTAGCTTTTTCGGTTATGTCAGAGGACTTTTCAAAAGTGGCACATGTAAAGGTTTTTGCCAGCCTTTTTAGAGTCGAATTGTAAAAATGGCTAGCTGGAGCTCGTCTGAGAATGTCTTCACCCGCTATATACTCAATGCTGATTGGTTAGGTTCTGCCCACTATAGTGCTGTCTGGTTAGAACATGATGTTGAGGCCCATCACTGTACTCTTGATGGTCACCACCAGACATTTAAGTCATTTAGCAGACGTTCTTATCCAGAGCGACTTACAGGAGCAATTAGGGTTAAGTGCCTTGCTCAAGGGCACATGGACAGATTTTTCACCTAGTTGGCTCTGGGATTAGAACCAGCGATCTTTCAGTTACTGGCACAACGCTCTTAACCACTAAGCTACCTGCTGCCCCACACACGCAGACACAGCTGTTTCCATTTGCAGATGTTTTATGATTGTATTTTAATCCGAATGACTTGTGAACTTACTTGTTGTGGTTATGTCGATGCACACACAACATTCTAGAAAACACACTGAAAACTTGTTGAGGATCTGAGGACCCATGCCAAATCTTTTCAGTCTCTTGAGGGGGAATAGACTTGGTCGTTCCCTCTTCACGACTGTCTTGGTGTGTTTGGACCATGATAGTTTGTTGGTTTGTGGACACCAAGGAACATGAAGCTCTCAACCTGTTCCACTACAGCCCCGTCGATGAGAATGGGGGCGTGCTCAGTCCTATTTTTTTTTCCTGTAGTCCATGATCATCTCCGTTGTCTTGATCACGTTGAGGGAGAGGTTGCTATCCTGGCACCACACGGCCAGGTCTCTGACCTCCTCCCTATAGGCTGTCTCATCATTGTCGGTGATCAGGCCTACCACTGTTGTGTCGTCGGCAAACTTAATGATGGTGTTGGAGTCGTGCCTGGCCATGCAGTCATGGGTGAACAGGGAGTACAGGAGGGGACTGAGCACGCACCCCTGAGGGGCCCCCGTGTTGAGGATCAGCTTGGCATATGTGTTGTTACCTACCCTTACCACCTGGGGGCGGCCCGTCAGGAAGTCCAGGATCCAGTTGCAGAGGGAGGTGTTTAGTCCCAGGGTCCTTAGCTTAGTGATGAGCTTTGAGGGCACTAAGGTGTTGAACGCTGAGCTGTAGTCAATGAATAGCATTCTCACATAGGTGTTCCTCTTGTCCAGGTGGGAAAGGGCAGTGTGGAGTGCAATAGAGATTGCATCATCTGTGGATCTGTTGGGGTGGTATGCAAATTGGAGTGGGTCTAGGGTTTCTGGGATATTAGTGTTGATGTGAGCCATGACCAGCCTTTCAAAGCACTTCATGGCTACAGACGTGAGTGCTACGGGTCGGTAGTCATTTAGGCAGGTTATCTTAGTGTTCTTGGGCACAGGGACTATGGTGGTCTGCTTGAAACATGTTGGTTTTACAGACTCAGTCAGGGACATGTTGAAAATGTCAGTGAAGACACTTGCCAGTTGGTCAGCGCATGCTCGGAGCACACGTCCTGGTAATCCGTCTGGCCCTGCGGCCTTGTGAATGTTGACCTGTTTAAAGGTCTTACTCACATCGGCTACAGAGAGCTTGATCACATAGTCATCCGGAACAGCTGATGCTCTCATTCATGCTTCAGTGTTGCTTGCCTCGAAGCGAGTATAGAAGGGATTTAGCTCGTCTGGTAGGCTTGTGTCACTGGGAAGCTCGCGGCTGTGCTTCCCTTTGTAGTCTGTAATAGTTTTCATGCCCTGCCACATCCGACGAGCGTCAGAGCCGGTGTAGTACGATTCAATCTTAGTCCTGTATTGACTCTTTGCCTGTTTGATTGCTCGTCGGAGGGCATAGCGGGATTTCTTATAAGCGTCCGGGTTAGAGTCCCGCTCCTTGAAGGTGGCAGCTCTACCCTTTAGCTCGGTGCGGATGTTGCCTGTAACTCATAGTTTCTGGTTGGGGTATGTACGTACGGTCACTGTGGGGACGACGTCATCGATGCACTTATTGATGAAGCAAGTGACTGATGTGGTTTACTCCTCAATGCTATCGGAAGAATCCTGGAACATATTCCAGTCTGTGCTAGCAAAATAGTCCTGTAGCTTAGCATCTACGTCATCTGACCACTTCCTTATTAACCGAGTCACTGGTGCTTCCTGCTTTCGTTTTTGCTTATAAGCAGGAATCATATCTTGCACTACTCATCTCATATGTATATACTGCATTCTATAATATTCTACTGTGTCTTAGTCCATGCCGCTCTGTCATTGCTTGTCCATATATCTATATATTCTTAAATTCCATTCCTTACTTAGATTTGTGTGTATTGGGTATATGTTGTGAAATTGTTAGATATTACTTGTTAGATTACTGCACTCTCAGAGCTAGAAGCACAAGCATTTCGCTATACCTGCAATAATCTCCTAAACAAATAAATGTGATAAATACAATTTGATTTGATTTGATTTGAATAACACCACATCGTTTTATTTGCAACTGAAAGGACTGTAGATTACACTTAAAAATGGCTAGTTTTGCAAATGTATTTTCAAAATGTATAAAAGAGCACAGACAGACAGTCATTGTTGCAAACCTTCCAGTGCACGTAGGAGTACTGTACTCCCAACCCTCTGATTGTCGTCTGGGTCTCTTGTCTGGTTACTGGTCACTGTCTGTCACTGATGGCTGGTGTGGGAGAGGCATGGTCCTTCACACAGTCCGTCCACCTTCACCCATGATTGTCCAACTCCATATGAGCAGGTGCCTGGCCATCTCTCCCAGACACCCCCATCTCTCTCTAGTGGATATAAAGTATTTATCTTCTGAACAACCTGATAATTGCAGCACTGTTCACAGCCCTAGATGGACTATGTTTCCATTGGCAACTTTAATATGTTATTTCCTTATCTAGCTGAATAAGCAAGACTCCCTTGGTAAACATTAACAGTTAGATACAATGCCCACTGCCCCCTGAGCAGATTCAGAGGTACTTGACCCTTTTATGTGGTGTTATTTTAGTTATGCTTAAAGGTACAAAAAAATGTATGCACGCATGACTGTAAGTCGCTTTGGATAAAAGCGTCTGCTAAATGGCATATTATTATTATTATAGGTACAATGTAACAGTCCACTTTGAGTATACATACATTAAAGAATGTGGTTAAGTTGTAGGCTACTCTTTAACTGTATTCTCATTCACTGGCCTCTCTCTACTTGATGGGCCCTTGCTCTGAAATCACATTTTAAACCAATGTGGGAGAGGAAGAGAGCCACACTGACATTACATTGCATTGGGAAAATGTAGGCCTGTGGGAGAGTGAGAATAGGTCGAGTGATCTGACTTTACTGGTCTGACTGGTAGGTCTGGTGGGGGTGTATACTAAATGTCAGAGACATGATGGGTGTGGTGAGAGACACATAAACAGATAGAGGAGAGTTAGCCATTAAAGAGAGGGAGAGAGAGAGGAATACAGGAGTGGTTAAAACAAACCAGTGTTGTTGCTTCCCATCAAGGAGCTGATCATCTTTTTTTATAACAGCAATCAACACCAAGAGAACCATTTGGACCCATAGCTTCCTCTGACCATCAGTGACCTATGGTGATTTAGCCGTGTGTGTGTGTGGATCAGGATACCCACGTGAGGACAGGCTGACATTGACAGCTCTCACTCCTCTGAGAACCAACAGTAACTAGTTGCTAAGCTCTAAGGGTCTGAGAGAGATGGCTGAGCGCTCCAAGATTGAACTCTTCATCAAGGTAAGAGTCAGAATCCTAACCTGCCTCCAATGGAGACTTTAATAGGCCTACTGTATTTTGAACTTTAGTCCTGTTTTAGAACAACATGTTGTACATTTTAGTTCTGGAAACAGCGTACAGCAAGGTTTGAATACATATTTGTTCATACATATGTAGGATCTTAATTTGAGCCAGTTTGCTACAGCAGGAAAGGAATCCTGAAGCAACAGGAAATAGGAATTATGATGTGGATTGTAAAAAAAAATTGACATTTTTGTAGGGGTTGATACATTTTTTTCGTATGGGAAATCAAGTCCAAAATGTAAAAGTGGAAATTACAAACGTCAGAAGCCTTTTTAAACCTCAAATACATTACACATTTTAAATGTCTTGCATTGCAGGAAAGTTCTCCAGCAACAGGGTGATCCTTACATCTGTAAATATACAGTGGGGAGAACAAGTATTTGATACACTGCCGATTTTGCAGGTTTTCCTACTTACAAAGCATGTAGAGGTCTGTAATTTTTATCATAGGTACACAAAAATCCAGAAAATCACATTGTATGATTTTTAAGTAATTCATTTGCATTTTATTGTATGACATAAGTATTTGATCACCTACCAACCAGTAAGAATTCCGGCTCTCACAGACCTATTCGTTTTTCTTAAAGAAAACCTCCTGTTCTCCACTCATTACCTGTATTAACTGCACCTGTTTGAACTCGTTACCTGTATAAAAGACACCTGTCCACACACTCAATCAAACAGACTCCAACCTCTCCACAATGGCCAAACCATAGAGCTGTGTAAGGACTTCAGGGATAAAATTGTAGACCTGCACAAGGCTGGGATGGGCTACAGGACAATAGGCAAGCAGCTTGGTGAGAAGGCAACAACTGTTGGCGCAATTATTAGAAAATTGAAGAAGTTCAAGATGACTGTCAATCACCCTCGGTCTGGGGCTCCATGCAAGATCTCACCTCGTGGGGCATCAATGATCATGAGGAAGGTGAGGGATCAGCCCAGAACTACACGGCAGGACCTGGTCAATGACCCGAGGAGAGCTGGGACCACAGTCTCAAAGAAAACCATTAGTAACTCACTACTATGGATTAAAATCCTGCAGCGCACGCAAGGTCCCCCTGCTCAAGCCAGCGCATGTCCAGGCCTGTCTGAAGTTTGCCAATGACCACCTGGATGATCCAGAGGAGGAATGGGAGAAGGTCATGTGGTCTGATGAGACAAAAATAGAGCTTTTTGGTCTAAACTCCACTCGCCGTGTTTGGAGGAAGAAGAAGGATGAGTACAACCCCAAGAACACCATCCCAACCGTGAAGCATGGAGGTGGAAACATCATTCTTTGCGGATGCTTTTCTGCAAAGGGGACAGGACGACTGCACCGTATTGAGGGGAGGATGGATGGGGCCATGTATCGCGAGATCTTGGCCAACAACCTCCTTCCCTCAGTAAGAGCATTGAAGATGGGTCGTGGCTGGGTCTTCCAGCATGACAACGACCCGAAACACACAGCCAGGGCAACTAAGGAGTGGCTCCGTAAGAAGCATCTCAAGGTCCTGTAGTGGCCTAGCCAGTCTCCAGACCTGAACCCAATAGAAAATCTTTGGAGGGAGCTGAAAGTCCGTATTGCCCAGCGACAGCCCCGAAACCTGAAGGATCTGGAGAAGGTCTGTATGGAGGAGTGGGCCAAAATCCCTGCTGCAATGTGTGCATACCTGGTCAAGCCCTACAGGAAACGTATGATCTCTGTAACTGAAAACAAAGGTTTCTGTACCAAATATTAAGTTCTGCTTTTCTGATGTATCAAATACTTATGTCATGCAATAAAATGCAAATTAATTACTTAAAAATCATACAATGTGATTTTCTGGATTTTTGTTTTAGATTCCGTCTCTCACAGTTGAAGTGTACCTATGATACAAATTACAGACCTCTACATGCTTTGTAAGTAGGAAAACCTGCAAAATCGGCAGTGTATCAAATACTTGTTCTCCCCACTGTACATAATAGAAAAGCAAACATTTTATCATATGTCCGTCCAGCTGTATTTGTAAGTCACATGGCTAGTTGCTATAACTACAAGAAAATTAGCATGTGGTAAGCATTCAGCTATAATGTGGAAAATAAAAACACTGATTTGAAAAGGTTGTTTTTAGATGGAGCAATGTAACCTCTTAGTAAAAGCTTGTTGTTTACATTATATCCGGTACAGTTACTGAGTATCGGTGTGTTTCTGTGAGAAGCCAGGTCAGGTGAACAGAAACTGATAAGAGGCTTGTCCAGTTTGGAGGCTTTATCCCCTGCTGCTGAAAATGCCTCAGCTTCCTCACATTCCAATGACTCAGTTATGTTGATTCTCAAAGATTACATCATAGGATGTACATGTGTTGTAAAAAGTGCTATATAAATAAAAATGTAAGACTTTACATTACTGTGTCCTTATTACAGTGTAATTACGTTAGTAAGTAAAGTGTAGAAAGTACTATAGCAATTCATTGTCTTTGTTACACTGTACTGACATTATGAAACAATTGTAAAAAAAAAACAAATTACTGACGGATTGAAGAGACAATTTTATTCTGTCCATTTTCCTTCTCTATCGCACACCCCTCCACCCGATAGGCCAGTGATGATGGGGAGAGTGTGGGGAACTGTCCCTTCTGTCAGCGACTCTTTATGATCCTCTGGCTGAAGGGGGCCAACTTCACCCTCACCACAGTAGACATGAAAAGGTATATATGTGGCTTTCACTCTCACGCACATACACTCTCCACAATGATGCACTTAAAGCAACAGTTCAATCCATCCAAGCCAGGCATGAATCTAAGAGCTTGTCCAAACAAGGTATCCTCAAAAGTAATTGGTAACAACTACTTATGAACTGCTAATGCTGATAGAAGAACTAGAGGATTGTGTGTGATAGATGAAGTGTGCAGTTGAGGGATTTTCTCCCTCATGTGTTTCATCTGGTCCCCTTGCTGTCAGGGCTCCAGAAGTGCTGAAGGACCTGGCCCCGGGCTCTCAGCCCCCGTTCCTCATCTTCGGCGAGGAGGTGCGCACCGACACCAACAAGATCGAGGAGTTCCTAGAGGAGGCACTGGCTCCGCCACAGTGAGTGTGTGATGAACTTCAACAGGCATAAATGCATGCACACACACATACATACACACACACACACACACACACACACACACACACACACACACACACACACACACACACACACACACACACACACATAGACACACTCCAAATGAGACAAGTACTTAATAAATAACTGTTTATTACAGGGCAATTAACCTCTTTGCAGTCAAATGTATCCTCCACTGGCTCTACTAACTCAGAAAGCTGAGAGCTAATGGCAATACCTTTCCAGGTACCCCAAGTTGTGCTGTCGCTACAAGGAGTCCAACGGTGCTGGAGATGACATCTTCCACAAGTTCTCTGCATACATCAAGAACCCTAACCCTGGACTCAACGATAGTAAGAGCCCCTCCTTGTTTTGAAGTCACTGAGTCATTGAAACAGTATGTACTGTATTACAGTGATCGTAGTTCCAGTTTTTTATGAGGCTTTCCTGCTTCTCAGTGCTTGAGATGAAGTTTCTGAAGAGCCTGATTAAGTTGGATCAGTACCTGCTGACGCCACTCCTACACGAGCTGGACCAAAACCCAGACGCCCCCCGGTCCTCACGGCACTATCTGGACGGGAACTCACTCAGTCTAGCTGACTGCAACCTGCTGCCCAAGCTCAACATAGTCAAGGTTATCAGATCAAGCGTTCCAGGAACTCATAGACCACACCACCTTTGCTAGTGTCATCTATTGTACTTTCCCCTATTCTGCTCCTCTCTGTTGGAACCATTTCAATCTCTATCAAGAAGGGCAAAGGTGTATTCCTTGTAGTTATAGGTGTACTCAGATGTGTAGCTATGGTTTAAATAATGATAATTGGGCTTTTTATTAGTCTGTATGACTGCATACTACAAGTACCACTAGCACCACTGTGCTACTAGTAAACAGATGAAAATGTTGTTCAATGTTGTTCAGTGTGTGTCTGTCATGTTGACTCCCTATCCCCCTCTCTTGCTCACCACAGGTGGTGTGTAGGAAGTACCGTGACTTTGAGATCCCTGTGGCTCTGACCGGTCTGACCCGCTACCTGACCAAGGCCTACCAGCAGGATGAGTTCCGCTATACCTGCCCCAAGGACTCCGAGATCCTACTGGCCTACCACTCGGTGGCCAAATACCTCAACAAGTAGATCAGGAGAGAAGGAGGGGGAGAGAGGGGGGCAAGGAGAGAGATAGAGAAAGAGAGAGAGGGAGGGGGGGCAGACAGGGTAAAAGAGGAGTCGAAGAAGGTGTGTTTAGACGAGAAGAAATATAAAAGGGGAAAGAGGGCTATGAAGCGATGATTTATGATTTATGTGTAGAGGACCAGAAAAATAAGCCTGCTGCCTATGCCTCAGAACGAGGCATGTCTGTCCTCTGTCAGTAACATATTTGTGAATAATGCTGTGTGTACAGGGTGAAGGTCTGCTCATATATGTACTATTACAACGTGTGTGCAACACAATTCTGTGCTGCCTGTTTAGTTTCTGTAGATATTTGCATGCCTTGAATTATGGTCAACTGTTAAAATGTTAATTTTAATGATCTTTCAATGTATTTTATGTTCACTTTGAAAACCTAGCAATGTGCACACTTTGTCTGGCAATTGTAAGGATCTGGATTTTCTATCCCTGAGAGACAAAGAGAAAGCATTATGTCAAATGCCAAGTAAACAAAGATAAATGGGGTACTATTGTATGTGGATTGAAAGGTTTTTCATTTACTGAAATGTGCTATATTGAAATTACTATCAGAGCCAGGCCCAGATAAATATTATTCCGAGTAGGCCTAAACCTCATTTTAATTGGTTTATTTAAAAGTGTTTGGCTTGCAACCTGTTTTCATTGCTGTGGGTGGAATCATAAAATGAGAATGGTCATTCTCATTCTATGTGTCACGTCTCCTCCCGTTGCTCCCCTCCGGCGCTCTGATTCGCCAGTCTACTGAACCACCGGTCTAAGCGCACCACCTCGACAACACCGGAATGGAAACACAACGCACCCTAATCACCTCCAGTGCACCTGCACCTCATCATCTCATCACCACCCCTATTTAGCCCTGGACTGTTCCTTATAATGTTGTGTGTGATTGTTTAGCTTTGTGTCGTGTACTCTATCTTTGTTATTTCTCTTTGTCATTGTTAAGTAAACCTTGACCTTGTTAATTCCTGCGTCTGCGTCCTGCCTCTTCGTATACTCAGAACTCGTCACACTATGGGTGGAATAATCATTACATCACAAAGACATAGTTTTGTTTTGTTTTTGATATTGTTTGTTTTTGGTCAGGGTTGGAGAGTAACAGATTACAAAAAAAACTGTAATCATTTATGTTACCAGCAATAATATTGCAATCAGATTACAGTTACTTTTGAAGAACTAGATGATTACTTATTGGATTACTTTTCAATTCAGAAAGGATGATTGTGAACAAAATACAAAAGACACCTTTCTGTTTTCTCAATGACATTCAATTCAGCATTGAAAATAGGCACATTTAAGTTTGTTCCACCTGAACAAGTCTGACCACAAGTCAGAGACCACTATGATGACACACCATATGCATTTGATGGATCCTTTTTGTCTTCTTCTAATGCCTCTTAAAGGGAAAGTTATCCAAAATGAACGGAAGATAATCAGGGAAGTTACTGAATTTGAGTAATCCAAAAGTTATGTTACTGATTACAATTTTGGACAGGTAACTGTAACGGATTACATTTAGAAAGTAACTTACCTACCCAACCATGGTTTTGGTTCAAACAGAATACAGTCCATAGATACAGTTGAAACTCGTTTTTCTACCACTCCACACATTTCTTGTTAACAAACTATAGCTTTGGCAAGTCGGTTAGGACATCTACTTTGTGCATGACACAAGTAATTTTTCCAACAATTGTTTACAGGCAGATTATTTCACTTATAATTCACTGTATCACAATTCCAGTGGGTCAGAAGTTTACATACTGTTTGGCCATAATGACCATCGTCATGTTTGGAGGAAAAAGGGGGTTGCTTGCAAGCCGAAGAACACCATCCCAACTGTGAAGCACGAGGGTGGCAGCATCATGCCGTGGGGGTGCTTTGCTGCAGGAGGGACTGGTGCACTTCAAAAAATTGATGGCATTATGAGGAAGGACAATTATGTGGATATATTGAAGCAACATCTCAAGACATCAGTGAGGAAGTTAAAGCTTGGTCGCAAATGGGTCTTCCAAATGGACAATGACCCCAAGCATACTTCCAAAGTTGTGGCAAAATGGCTTAAGGACAACAAAGTCAAGGTATTGGAGTGGCCATCACAAAGCCATTACCTCAATCCTATAGAACATTTGTGGGCAGAACTGAAAAAGCGTGTGTGAGCAAGGAGGCCTACAAACCTGACTCAGTTACACCAGCTCTGTCAGGAGGAATGGGCCAAAATTCACCCAACTTATTGTGGGATGCTTGTGGAAGGCTACCCGAAACGTTTGACCCAAGTTAAACAATTGAAAGGCAATGCTACCAAATACTAATTGAGTGTATGTAAACTTCTGACCCACTGGGAATGTGATGAAAGAAATAAAAGCTGAAATAAATTTTACATTTTTGTCATTTAGCAGACGCTCTTATCCAGAGCGACTTACAGTTAGTGAATACATTTTTTTTTTTTATATACTGCCCCACCCCCGTGGGAATCAAACCCACAACCCTGGCGTTGCAAACGCCATGCTCTATCAACTGAGCTACATCCCTGCCGGCCATTCCCTCCCCTACCCTGGACGACGCTGGGCCAATTGTGCGCCGCCCATGAGTCTCCCGGTCGCGGCCGGCTGCGACAGAGCCTGGATTCGAACCAGGATCTCTAGTGGCACAGTTAGCACTGCGATGCAGTGCCTTAGACCACTGCTCCACTCATTCTCTCTACTATTATTCTGACATTTCACATTCTTAAAATAAAGTGGTGATCCTAACTGACCTAAGACAGGGGATTTTTACTTGGATTAAATGTCAGGAATTGTGAAAAACTGGGTTTAAATGTATTTGGCTAAGGTTTATGTAAACTTCCGACTTAAACTGTATATTATCTATGATACAGACAGTCAGTTCAGTGGAAGAAACAATGAACTTATCTCTTATCTTTTACAAGATAATCACTTTGATCAGAGAGGGAGATGGAAAGGAAAAAATAGGAAAAACAGATTGTCAATACCAAACCAGTCAGAGATAGAGAGCGATGGAGAGGAGAAAAAACTGAGACAGGAGAAAAAGATGAAGAGAGGCAAAAGACAAAGAGAGGATTGATTGAATGAAAAGACAGAGAGAGCTAGAAAAAGCAATGGAGAGAACAAGAGAGAGTAGGCCTACAAGACAAAAATGAGAGGAGGATGGTAGCTAAACAGGAAATTGATCAAGAGAAATGAAAGCGAATGAAACATAATGAGTCAGAGATAGAAAGACAGACAGCACTGCCGGTGCAAAAAATTGCAAGAGCAGTACAATAAGATCAAGAAAATAAAGAAAGTGGAAAGAAATTGAGGGCCAGAAACAGATGGAAAGAGAGAAGGAAGAAAGATAGGAAGAGATTGAAACTAATGGAATGGAGAGACAGACAAAAGAGGAGATGAGGACAGAAGCGAGTGAGGAGGAAGATGTCGGTGGAAACATAATTGAAGAAAAGAACAAGACAGACAAAAGTACAGTGGCTTGCGAAAGTATTCACCCCCCTTGGCATTTTTCCTATTTTGTTGCCTTACAACCTGGAATTAAAATTGATTTTTTGGGGGTTTGTATCATTTGATTTACACAACATACCTACCACTTTGAAGATGCAAAATATGTTTTATTGTGAAACAAACAAGAAATAAGACTAAAAAAAATAAAAAATTGAGCATGCATAACTGTTCACCCCCACAAAGTCAATACTTTGTAGAGACACCTTTTGCAGCAATTACAGCTGCAAGTGTCTTGGGGTATGTCTCTATAAGATTGGCACATCTAGCCACTGGGATTTTTGCCCATTCTTCAAGGCAAAACTGCTCCAGCTCCTTCAAGTTGGATGGGTTCCGCTGGTGTACAGCAATCTTTAAGTCATACCACAGATTCTCAATTGGATTGAGGTCTGTGCTTTGACTAGGCCATTCCAAGACATTTAAATGTTCCCCCTCGAGTGTTGCTTTAGCAGTATGCTTAGGGTCATTGTCCTGCTGGAAGGTGAACCTCCGTCCCACTCGCAAATCTCTGGAAGACTGAAACAGGTTTCCCTCAAGAATCTACCTGTATTTAGCGCCATCCATCATTCCTTCAATTCTGACCAGTTTCCCAGTCCCTGACGATGAAAAACATTTACCCCGAGATGGTGTTCTCGGGGTGATGAGAGGTGTTGGGTTTGCGCCAGACATAGCGTTTTCCTTGATGGCCAAAAAGCTCAATTTTTTTGTCTCATCTGACCAGAGTATCTTCTTCCATATGTTTGGGGAGTCTCCCACATGCCTTTTGGTGAACACCAAACATGTTTGCTTATTTTTCTCTTTAAGCAATGGCTTTTTTCTGGCCACTCTTCCATAAAGCCCTGCTCTGTGGAGTGTATGGCTTAAAGTGGTCCTATGGACAGATACTCCAACCTCCGCTGTGGAGCTTTGCAGCTCCTTCATGGTTATCTTTGGTCTCTTTGTTGCCTCTCTGATTAATGCCGTCCTTGCCTGGTCCGTGAGTTTTGGTGGGCGGCCCTCTCTTGGCAGGTTTGTTGTGGTGCCATATTCTTTCTATTTTTTTATAATGGATTTAATGGTGCTCCGTGGGATGTTCAAAGTTTCAGATTTTTTTTTATAACCCAACCCTGATCTTGTACTTCTCCACAACTTTGTCCCTGACCTGTTTGGAGAGCTCCTTGGTCTTCATGGTGCCGCTTGCTTGGTGGTGCCTCTTGCGTAGTGGTGTTGCAGACTCTGGGGCCTTTCAGAACTGGTGTATATATACTGAGCTCATGTGACAGATCATGTGACACTTAGATTGCACACAGGTGGACTTTATTTAACTAATTATGTGACTTCTGAAGGTAATTGGTTGCACCAGATCTTATTTAGGGGCTTCATAGCAAAGGGGATGAATACATATGCACACACCACTTTTCAGGTATTTATTTTTGAGAAATTTTTGAAACAAGTTATTTTTTTCATTTCACTTCACCAATTTGGACTATTTTGTGTATGTCCATTACATGAAATCCAAATTTAAAATACATTTAAATTACAGCTTGTAATGTAACTGTCACGATCGTCAGGGAGAGACCAATGCGCAGCGTGATGAACGAACATGATACTTTATTTAATTAAAGTGCACACACGAAACAACAAAACAATAAACGACTCGTGAAGTCCACGGTAACAATGACCGACACGGAACAAGAACCCACAAACACAAAAGGAAAACAGACAGTATAAATATGGCTCCCAATCAGAGACAACCAGCCAACAGCTGACACTCGTTGCCTCTGATTGGGAGTCACTCAGGCCAACATAGAAATACACAACCTAGAACCCCCAACATAGAAATAGAACACATAGAATGAACACACCCTGGCTCAACATATAGAGTCCCAGAGCCAGGGTGTGACAGTAACAAAATAGGAAAAACGCCAAGGGGGGTGAATACTTTTCCAAGGCACTGTATCAGGAGGTGAATCTTCAACTGGGGAAATACTAAGGTCAAAGAAAGATACCGACGAAAAACGGAGAGGACCTTTCAGAGGGAAAGGGAGGAAGGTGATAATATAAGTGCATTCGGAAAGTATTCAGACCCCTTGACTTTTTCCACATTTTGTTACATTACAGCCTTATTCTAAAATTTATTAAATTGATTTTTGTTCTCATCAGTCTACACACAATACCCCATAATGACAAAGCAGAAACAGGATTTAATATATTTTTGCACATGTATTAAAAATAAGAAACTGAAATATCACATTTACACAAATATTCAGACCCTTTACTCAGTAGTTTGTTGAAGCACCCTTGACAGTGATTACAGCCTCGAGTCTTCTTGCGTATGACGCTACAAGCTTGGCACACCTGTATTTGCCGAGTTTCTCCCATTCTTCTCCACAGATCCTCTCAAGCTCTGTCAGGTTGGATGGGGAACATCGCTGCACAGTTATTTTCAGGTCTCTCCAGAGATGTTCGATCGGGTTCAAGTCCAGGCTCTGGCTGGGCCTACTCAAGGACATTCAGAGACTTGTCAGGAAGCCACTCCTGCGTTCTCTTGGCTGTGTGCTTAGGGTCGTTGTCCTGTTGGAAGATTAACCTTCGCCCCAGTCTGAGGTCCTGAGCACTCTGGAGCAGGTTTTCATCAAGGATCTCTCTGTACTTTGCTCCGTTCATGTTTGCCTCGATCCTGACTAGTCTTTCAGTCCCAGCAGCTGAAAAACATCCCCACAGCATGATGCTGCCACCACCATGCTTTACCGTAGGGATGGTGCCAGGATTCCTCCAGACATGACGCTTGGCATTCAGGCCAAAGAGTTCAATCTTGGTTTCATCAGACCAGAGAATCTTGTTTCTCGTGGTTTGAGAGTCCTTTAGGTGCCTTTTGGATTACAAAAGTGCTGAACAAATACTGATATTGACTACGTCCGATTTAGCTCGCTCATTAATGTCTTAATCGAAATTCAGGAAAGCCTCTTATCCGCTCATCGTTCCCTTAAACCATAGTTTGTACATTTCAATTGTCAGTAGAAACCACATTTGTTTAAGCAAGTCAGCCATATCAGCTATGTTTTTTAAAAAGGCAGTAAATGAGGCTAAATGAACTGTTTCACTGCCAGTCAAGGCGCCGCTGATAGTCAGGTGTAGTGGTGGTAAGGATTCACTCCATGGTGCTGAAAAGAAAGCTCTGCTTACGGGACAGCTTTATGTAGGTTCTAACAGTTTGTGGGCACCGTTTGTCACCGTTATAGTGCAATTCATGTATTGTTTAGTGTTGTGTTGTGTAGTGGCATTGCTGGCATGCATCTAAAACATATTTTTTTTAGTTTGCCACACCAAGGTTTACATGCTAAAATCTACACTGCCACCAAGTGGGTTAGCCCTCTTGGTGCGATGCATAGGGTGCTTGCCTTGAGACCAGGGGTTCGCTTCCCTACCCCGCCGTTCGCTACAATACCATTGATAGCCTACAGTACTTTCTTTCCATCAGGTACCTTGGTAGGTGGTCTTGGATCCTTTTGTTTCAAAGTATATTTGTTTAATACCAAGAAACACTCAGTGTGACCCTGATTTAGCCCACTGCATGTGAAAACACAAAATCCTACTCATCATTCTACGTGCTCAATCATATAATCCTTAATGTATACTAGGCTACGTCACTTTTGTTTTGAGACTATTTCACCGTGTGTTTTTAACGGGGCAACTGGTTCACGCCAGAGAAGCAGACCGGTTCCAAAACTAATGCAATCACCTTTCACCCGGCGCAAACTGCTCCCGTCGGGGTAATCCGGGCTAGATTGGCAGCAGCAGGGATTGGCTAGTGATGTAAATGGGTGGTGGGACCGCCAGGAGTTAGGAGGATATATATATATTTTTCAAATGGTTCATACTGGACAAGAAAGAGCGCAAAAGCGAGTCCAGAAAGTTCTGAACTATCTAGCTAAGTAGTTCAATTGCCAACTCGTACATGTCTTGGGGTTTAGCTATATTTGGTTGGACTTTGTGTGGCATGTCTGGAGCTCCGATTGATTCTGACTGTTAGCAACATTTGCGAGCTTTTCTGCTTAGCCCTAGTTTTACTAGTCGCTATTTATGTACAGTCGTGGTCAAAAGTTTTGAGAATAACACAAGTATTGGTCTTCACAAAGTTCGCTGCTTCAGTGTTTTTAGATATTTTTGTCAGATGTTACTATGGTATACTGAAGTATAATTACAAGCATTCCATAAGTGTCAAAGGCTTTTATTGACAATTACATTACGTTTATGCAAAGAGTCAAGATTTGCAGTGTTGTCCCTTCTTTTTCAAGACCTCTGCAATCCGCCCTGGCATACTGTCAATTAACTTCTGGGCCACATCCTGACTGATGGCAGCCCATTCTTGCATAATCAATGCTTGGAGTTTGTGGGTTTTTGTTTGTCCACCCGCCTCTTGAGGATTGACCACAAATTCTCAATGGGATTAAGGTCTGGGGAGTTTCCTGGCCATGGACCCAAAATATCGATGTTTTGTTCCCCGAGCCACTTAGTTATCACTTTAGCTGAATCAACTTTAGGAGACGGTCCTGGCGCTTGCTGGACTTTCTTGGGCACCCTGAAGCCTTCTTCACAATAATTGAACCTCTCTCCTTGAAGTTCTTGATGATCCGATAAATGGTTGATTTAGGTGCAATCTTACTAGCAGCAATATCCTTGTCTGTGAAGCCCTTTTTGTGCAAAGCAATGATGACGGCACGTGTTTCCTTGCAGGTAACCATGGATAACAGAGGAAGAACAATGATTTCAAGCACCACCCTCCTTTTAAAGCTTCCAGTCAACACTCTCACCTGTGTTAACGAGAGAATCACTGACATGATGTCAGCTGGTCCTTTTGTGGCAGGGCTGAAATGCAGTGGAAATGTTTTTTGGGGATTAAGTTAATTTTCATGGCAAAGAGGAACTTTGCATTTAATTGCAATTCAACTGATCACTCTTCATAACATTCTGGAGTATATGCAAATTGCCATCATAAAAACTGAGGCAGCAGACTTTGTGAAAATTTATATTTGTGTCATTCTCAAAGCCTTTGACCATGACTGTACTAGCTAATTTTCCCCCAACATCGGACACCCCCTAACTTCGGACACTTTCTAGCAGTTGGAAGACTAAATCACCTTGAGCTCAACATTTAAATGGACTGGAAAATAACGGTACGTTTTACGACTAAAGACACCCTTCTAGCGAGCTGACCACCGATTTTCAGTGCAATTTATGTAAGTTAAATTAGGTTTTGAGAGTTTTCAAAAAAGTTATATATGTACACATTTTGTGGGACACGCTGCATATTGTAAGATTCAACTGCGCGACATTTAATATCCAACTTTTTACCTCTGAAATATAGCTAACGGATTTTCTAATGTTGCTAGCTTAGTTGCTAAATGTTGATAGAACTGCTAAGACAGCAAAAAGGAAATTGTAAGCGTTAGATAATACATATCACGAAAACAGCTGAATGTTGTCAAGCTTTACCGTATCAAAATTGGAGTCCTCTAACGGAGGCATTTTGCACAATCTGCAAAAATGTATTTGGAACATTGAACCATGAACTTTTTGACACCTATCACTGTTGGCTATGTTTCATCTTACAACAGCTACATAGAGGCAGTATTTAGTCAAATGTTACAATGTATGCATCAATATTAAACTAATTGGGACACTAATTTTCATTACAGATAACATCAAACAAAAAACATGAAAACTTTCATCAACTTTCAATGCCTTAGCTTTGAAATGTAAATGTTTATACATATTCAGATTGAGTTATCTTTCTAAACTGTGTATAGTATTCCAAGTTATTTAAGTTATTTAGCTACATGTATTTACCACCACAGCATGGAGAATGTCAAGAGGAAGCAGTGGAGTGAGGTGGACATGTTCCATGCCATGGAGGACTGCGGGGCAGGGATGGCTATCCGCCAGGCTGCCAAGGTTATAATAATAATAATAATAATAATATAATATAATATAATAATAATAATAATTATTATAGTAAAGCTTCCTTAGACACCAAGAACAAACAAAAAGAGGAAGGAAGTCCCACTTTGGTCTCACTCTCCCTGACTTCTTGATCAGACTTGAAGTGATCATGTTTGTTGTTGGAATGTTCCATGGTTCTCAGTGTATGTCTGACACCATAATAACAATATAATTGAATAGAACACTGTAATTTAATGGATCTTCATGGTAATAACCCTGTTGTTTTGTTGTCCAGTTGACTGTTGTGCTGACCGGGGCTGTGGTGGTAGTGTCTTTCATTGGCATCGTGGTGCTCTTCCTCTATCGAAGATACAAGCTAGCCAGTGAGTCATCCATCCTCTTCCTCCCTACTTCATGGGACAAGCATGTGGAGCAAGAAAAACAGTTGATATTGAACTTGACATTATACATACTGAAAACATCTTGGGGCAATGAGCTAAATTTGACCACACCAGCATTGGCGAAAAATATCTGTTGGTCCTGAACAGAGAGAACCCTTGTTCACAGGACATTCATTCCATCTGTGCTGTATACTATGTAGGCCTAGTTGCATTTTGCACTCTGTTTACCAGCCACTATTGCTCGCATAAGCAGTGTTATCTATGTTGATAGCATGTTGTGTCTGTGTTGGAAGGTGGACAGCAGGCTGTTCCCCGCTATCACTTCAGGAAGAGAGACAAGGCGCTCTTCTACGTCAGGAAGATTTTGAGGAAGGTTAGTCATTCTTAAAATATGTTCCATATGGCACCCTAGTCCCTTTATAGTGCCACTACTTTTGACCTGGTCCCATAAGGCTCTGGTCAAAAGTAGTGCACCAATGAATAGGGTGCCATTTGGGATACACATCTGTTCACTCTCTCCTACTTACCAACCTATTGACAGAAAGGTATGCATACTGTAGCAACGTTAACCCAAGACCTAGCGAGCTCGTCAAGAGGGTCAGATCTCCTGGCATAAGGTGTTGGGTTGACAGTCGCTGGACCTGGGATCGGGTCCCAGTCGGGGCTTCCTCCTGAATTCGCTACAATAATACCTTTTACTGGGGAAATGGAAGAGACTCTTCACCAAATCACTCATCTCCATACCATGCATTATTTATCAGGGTCCGTATTCATAAAGCGCCTCAGAGGAGGAGTGCTGATCTAGGATTAGTTTAGCTTTTTAAATTCGAATGAATATGATTATATGGACAGCGGGCACCTGATCCTAAATCAGCAATTATTCATTTTCTGAGACACTTTATGAATAGAGGACCAGGAGTTTAGCATGCCAATCCTTATTGCCATTTATTTCAATTGAAATGAATTTCTGACGCCTTTATAATTTCAGAATATTACGTATCAATTCTTGGAATTGAGTGAATCTCCTGTGATTTGTCTTCTGATGATAAGAAATGTTAGTTACATGTTTCCCCACTGGAGGGCAGAGCAAAGTAGCATTTTGTGCCTTTAGTAACTCATCCCTTCATCCCCTTCCTTCCATGGATTCCATCTCTCTGTCACTCGCCGGTCCAGACCCTGTCCTCCCCTCCGTCCTCTACCTCAGTGTCCAAGCAGTGCCCTCGGAAGAGACCAAAAGTCCTGAGTATAGCTCGCAGGTAGGCTACCATCTCTAGAGGCTGTCACACCACTACTCAAAAGAGAGGAAATTAAATTTAAGAAAGGGCACACTAGTCTATGCCACCTAATGTGTGTGGGTGTTCTAGGATCCTGCGTATCCGTAAGGAGCCCCCCACCCTTCAGCCCAAGGAGCCCCCTCCATCCCTATTGGAGGGCGACCTGACTGAGTTTGACGTGCAGAACACCAACCGACGCGCCGAGGTCCTCTACATGCTCAAGAACATCAGGTAGCACAAACAAACACACAAACATCCATGCACACACACACTCACATTCTCTATACTATACTGTGATATGTCCTTTTTTATTTTTTTGTGGTATTTGTACCCCATTTTTCTCCCCAATTTCGTGGTATCCAATTGGTAGTTACAGTCTTGTCCCATCGCTGCAATTCCTGTACGGACACGGGAGAAGCGAAGGTCGAGAGTCGTGCGTCCTCCGAAACACAACCCAGCCGAGCCGCACTGCTTCTTGACACACTGCTCGCTTAACCCAGAAGCTAGCCGCACAAATGTGTCGGAGGAAACACCGTACACCTGGCGACCAAGTCAGCGTGCACTGCGCCCGGCCCGCCACTGGAGTCGCTAGTGCGCGATGGGACAAGAACATCCCTGCCGGCCAAACCCTCCCCTAGCCTGAACGACGCTGGGCCAATTGTGCGCCGCCCCATGGGGCGGCCGGCTGCGACAGAGCCTGGACTCGAACCAGGATCTCTAGTGGCACAGCTAGCACTGCGTGATATCTCCTTCTTAGTGTGCGCACACACACACATACACTCTCACACACCAGTAGCAGTGTGTGTGTTCTCTGTGTCACTCCGTGTTTTGTCTCCCTCTGCTCTCAGGGTGCTAGGCCACTTTGAAAAGCCTCTGTTCCTGGAGCTGTGTCGTCACATGGTCTTTGTGGAGCTGCAGGAGGGGGAGGGGCTGTTCGTCTGGAACACTGCATCCACGAGACCGTAAGACCAGGCTAGAATACCTGCTGGGAATACACCATGAAACACACTGTACATATGCTTAGAGCTAGCCCTAACCCTAACACCAGCATCCACTTACATTTTTGCTTAGTCAATATCATAGATGTGTTTTTATGAGTCATTCCGTGCACCTAGGGGAATTTAGCTTTCTGTGTGTGGTATAGGACGGTACAGAGCCGGTTGTGAAGGACATGCTCCCGGGGGACGGTGTTCATAGCCTACTCAGTATTATGGACATCATCACTGTGAGTTTATGGCTATTCCCTTTATAGTGCACTACCTTTGACCATAGGGCTATTGTCAAAAGTAGTGCACTATATAGGGAATTAGCTGTCATTTTAGACAAGACTATATCTCCCCTCCATCTGACGCACCTTACACCAGCCTCTGTTCTCCTCTGGCTTCTCTTCTACCCACCTCTCCCCCCATCCATCTCTCCCTCCTCCCTGTCCTGTCCTCGATCCAGCCAGCTCTGCTCATCCCTCCCTCCCTCTGTTCTTCACTGCTATACCTCTGTTCATCTTTGCCCCCTCTCTATTCCTCTCCCGCTTATTTTTCAATCTGTCTATTCCTCCCTCTATCCTCCTCTTATTATTTCAGTGTTCCATCCACATTAATCTATTTCCATCTTCCTTTACCAGACTAGGTCACTCTGGTTAACCCTCCTCCTCTCTCTCTCTCCCCCTCCTTGTGTGATTGGTTGGTTCCTGTGTTCCTCAGGGTTACCCCGCCCCCTATAAGACGTTGTCAGTGCGGGCTGTGTCTCGCTCATCTATCCTGCGTCTGCCCGCCTCAGCCTCCAGTCGGTGTTTGAGAAGTACCCTGAGACTCTAATGCGCGTCATTCAGGTCCAACCCCAACCCTCAGCCTGCTCCCAAACACATTTCAAACAAACAGGACTCTTTGGATGTGACCCCCTAATGGCAACGATTGCGTCCCAAAATGCACCCTATTCCCTATGGGCCCTAGTCGAAAGTGGTGCACTATGTAGGAAATAGGGTGCCATTTGGGACAAAACCAAGGATGGAAACTGCCTAACCTGAGTTGAAAGCACACCCTGATTGTTCTGAAGAATAATTTCTCCATTGATGTTATTGTGGCTGTATTACAGCCATTGTTGTAGAGTGGTGTTTAATCCACCTTGGTGTTTGATCCACCTTGGTTTTTGATCCACCTTGGTGTGTGTCCCAGATAATCATGGTGCGACTCCAGAGAGTGACCTTCCTGGCATTACATAACCACCTGGGCCTGACCACAGAGCTCTTCAACCCGGTAATACACACACTTACACAGTAGAGTACACACTCCAGCGATATCGCGCACGCGCACACACAAACAAACAAACAAACACACACACACACACACACACACACACACAACCTAAATTCACACACCATTAAGCCCAGCATCATAGCTTTATCCTCCATACAGTCTTAAAGCTCAGTGAAAATGAATAATATGGATCACAAGCCTCTATAGGACAGTAACTTTTAAACCCACTTGCCTCTAATCTTCCATCAGTGTTAAAGCTTTATTGTTCTCCATCACTGAGCGAGACTGGAAGTCTTCACTCAGACCCTCCCTGACCCAATCTTCTTTAACAGCCACTTTATTCTACAATTGAATTCTGTCATTCTGATTTAACTTTCTCTAGTACTAGTTTCGTTCATCCACCTCATATTGTATTCTCTAATGTTGTTTAATGCATGATTAGGTTGATATGATGTAAAATAGTGCAACATCTTTGCATCTTTGATTGACAGGAGTGTCACGCGGTCCCCTTTTGACAGTTGCTGGGGTGATAGGAGAGGGAAGTCCGGTCAGGATGCCACGCAGACCCCACTTTCAGGAGGATCCTGTCTCCGTCCCCACACCTGCACCTACAGAAATCTGCTCCGACACAGACGCTGGGAAAGACAGTCCCTCCAACGCCTTTAGGAAGACTCACTATCTTTATGCCCACTGATGGTACAGGTAGTTTTGTCCACTGCTGAGTACTACAACTTCATTCACTTGTGGCTTCACATGCACACTATGCCCATCAATACCTCTCTCTGCTCAGCAGGGGTGACAGGGAACAACCTGAACATGGCATACGAGCGAGCCAGAGTCACCATAGACGAACGCCCCTCCAGCCCTGTCATTTATAAGGTGAGCGTCCGTTCTTCCTCCCTTCCCTCTCCTTTACACCTCTCTGTGTGTCCCAAATGGCACCCTATTCCCTACATGTTGTATAGGGAATAGGGTGCCATTTGGGCCACAGCCACTGACACACCCACCTTTGCTTCTGGACCTGTGTCTGCCTCACTCATGTCTGAATCCCCCCCCCCCCCCCCTTCCCTATCTGTCCTCCCACCTCTCCTCCAGTCCAGCCTGAAGAAGAGTGTGACCATGCAGCACACGCCCTCGGCGGTGTTCCACTACACAGACAGCGAGGGATGCCTTGACAACGTCCACCCCAGCAAGGTCAGCGCCATCTGCGCCAGTTTCGGACAGGGAGTACCATATAGACGTATAATATATAGTAATATGTACGTAGAATATATGGTTAAATATGGTAATATAATTCATGTTGCACGGTATACCACGACCACGGTAATATCACAGTAGCAAAACGTCATGATACCAACATTTTAGAACACCGTAGTCCTGTTTCATATGATACTACCTAATTATTCAGCCCTACTGATCTAAAGAATCTTCTGGCGCCTGTTATAAAATGTTTATAAAGTCAGTTTTGTAAAATAAATAATGTTGAATTTAAGCAACAGCCACTAGTCTTTTGTATACGCAGGTCCAATAATATAAATGTTGCTTTCATGCGCATTTCACGTGTGGCGGTGTAATCAGCCAGCCGCATCCCCTACCAGCCCTCACTCACCTGGTTCTCTCCGCATCCCCTACCAGCCCTCCCTCACCTGGTTCTCACCGCATCCCCTACCAGCCCTCACTCACCTGGTTCTCTCCACATCTCCTACCAGCCCCCACTCACCTGGTTCTCTCCGCATCCCCTACCAGCCCTCACTCACCTGGTTCTCTCCGCATCCCCTACCAGCCCTCACTCACCTGGTTCTCTCCGCATCCCCTACCAACCCTCCTTCACCTGGTTCTCACCGCATCCCCTACCAGCCCTCACTCACCTGGTTCTCTCCGCATCCCCTACCAGCCCTCCCTCACCTGGTTCTCACCGCATCCCTTACCAGCCCTCACTCACCTGGTTCTCTCCGCATCCCCTACCAGCCCTCACTCATCTGGTTCTCTCCGCATCCCCTACCAGCCCTCCCTCACCTGGTTCTCACCGCATCCCCTACCAGCCCTCACTCACCTGGTTCTCTCCGCATCCCCTACCAGCCCTCACTCACCTGGTTCTCTCTGCATCCCCTACCAGCACTCTCTCACCTGGTTCTCTCCATCCGCTCTTCATGCGCATCTATTCCTCCATCAGTTTAAAATATAATTTTGCTGTGATGGTGAGCGGGGATGCAGACCCTGATGAGTCTTCTGTTGTTAGATTTCTACATTTGTTACATTGGAGCAGCACTAGCGAAGTTGATACATTGTATCATTTCATCGCCTGTTATAACCAAGAGCACAGACCAGCCTATGTAGACTTTGCCAGTTCACTGTCATGCAGCCTCTGAGGGCCAGAGAGGGAAAATGGAGGCATGCTTGCAGCTTTCCAGCAAAGAAAACAGCTTGTTTCTAGCCTAAACGGTTAAAAACATATGACCCATATTACCGGAGATGCCTTTTTTTCATTCTATAGGGATTCACGCACATTTTATATAATTCACAAAGAATGTTGCAGGCCGTTTTAAACTAATCCCGGGTTGCTAATTAAACGTTGTTCAGTCATGTTACATAGCTAGCTAACAACCTGGTAACTTGACAGTAAGTTCAGGCAAATTTGATTGGCACAGGAAGAAAGGAAAAGGGTCTGCTGCTCATGAGATGTGCTTCAAATGCAGGATTCATATAGGCCTAAAGTAAGTCTAAACTATATAAAAAATATATTTATTTCTGGTGCTCCTTAAATTCTGTTTGATGCTGTTAGGTTCTAAATAACAAGGTAAAAACCGACCGACAACTATAAAAGCTCAAACCGAGTTTATTCACCCAATGGGTCAGACAGCTGAACAGACTAAAAACATGTTTCCACCAGCACAAGTGTATATATATATATACCCCAATTTAGGTGAACTCCTCCTTCCCTCTAAACATTACATGCAGGTAAGTGATGCAGGTAATAAACTGTTCCTTCTCCCTTAATGTGACCTGACCTCTTCCCCATTCCTCACTAATCCACAGCTCTCCACCCTTATCAGTGACTGCAACCTTTCCTTTACTCAGTACATTCCAAGCTTAATTGCCGCTACCATATATATTCCTCCTACAGATAACCATTAACTTCTGGTGTATAAACCAGACTATGGCACTCCTCATGTCTATAGGATACCTGATGATTAACAATATTTCAAGTTTAGAAGTCAGAACCCACCAATGCCTAACATTTGTAAAAGCTGGGAGCAGTGTATGTGTGTTTGTGGGAGAGAGTGGTGTGTGTGTTTATGAGAGAGAGGGAGACAGTGTGGGAGGAAGAGTGTACAGTGCATTCGGAAAGTACTCAGACCCCTTGACTTTTTCCACATTTTGTTACGTTACAGCCTTATTCTAAAATGGATGAAATAAAAATTTTCCTCATCAATCTACACACAATACATCATAATGAACAGGTTTTTAGAAATGTTAGCACATTTATTCAAATAAAAAACAGATACCTTATTTACATAAGTATTCAGACCCTTTGCTATGAGACTCGAAATTGAGCTCCGGTGCATCCTTTTTCCATTGATCACCCTTGATGTTTCTACAACTTGATTGGAGTCCACCTGTGGAAAATTCAATTGATTGGACATGATTTGGAAAGGCACACACCTGTCTATATAAGGTCCCACAGTTGACAGTGCATGTCAGAGCAAAAACCAAGCCATTTGGTCGAAGGAATTGTCTGTAGAGCTCTGAGACAGGATTGTGTCGAGGCACAGATCTGGGGAAGGACACCAAAAAATGTCTGCAGCATTGAAGGTCCCCAAGAACACAGTGGCCTCAGTCATTCTTAAATGTAAGAAGTTTGGAACCACCAATACTCTTCCTAGAGCTGAGCAATCGGGGGAGAAGGGCCTTGGTCAGGGAGGTGACCAAGAATCCGATGGTCACTCTGACAGAGCTCCAGAGTTCCTCTGTGGAGATGGGAGAACCTTCCAGAAGGACAACCAACTCTGCAGCACTCCACCAATCAGGACTTTATGGTAGAGTGACCAGATGGAAGCCATTCCTCAGTAAAAGGCACATGGCAGCCCGCTTGGAGTTTTCCAAAAGGCACCTAAAGGACTCTCAGACCATGAGAAACAAGATTCTCTGGTCTGATGAAACCAAGATTGACCTGAATGCTAAGCGTCACGTCTGGAGGAATCCTGACACCATCCCTACGGTGAAGCATGGTGGTGGCAGCATCATGCTGTGGGGATGTTTTTCAGCAGCAGGGAATGGGAGCCTAGTCACGATCGAGGGAAAGATGAACGGAGCAAAGCACAGAGACATCCTTGATGAAAACCTGCTCAGGACCTCAGACTAGGGTGAAGGTTCACCTTCCAACAGGACAATGACCCTAAGCACACAGCCTTGTAGCGTCATACCCAAGAAGACTCGAGGCTGTAATCGCTGTCAAAGGTGTTTCAACAAAGTACTGAGTAAAGGGTCTGAATACTTATATATTTCAGTTTATTATTTTTTATACATTTGCCAACATTAAAAAATAACTGTTTTTGCTTTGTCATTATGGGGTATTGTGTATAAACTGATGAGGGAAAAAAAATATTTAATCAATTTTAGAATAAGGCTGTAATGTAACAAAATGTGGAAAAAGTCAAGGGGTCTGAATGCTTTCCGAATGCACTGTATGTGTCTGTGTTAACTGAAGAGTAAAGAAGGTTTCATGCAGTGTTTTCCACTTACTGCCACAATGACATGCAGATAGATCATTTATGTATGTATGTATGTACAGTATATTCCTTCCATCCATTCCTCCAACAAATCACAGGTAGGCCTTTGCAAATATGAGCAAATCAGCCATTATATGCAGTATTCTATTATACACTGAACAGTGTGAAGTTAAATTCAGTAGAAGTGTGAATTTCAGTGACCAGTTGTTTTGCCTAGCACATGCACAGAATGTTTAGAAAACAGGAACAAGCATCCGGGGGGCGGGGCGAACAGGACGCAGATATTTTTTCCCCGTTTTAGCGCGATAGTACTCGGTATTGTGATACTTGACCTGGTATCGTATCGTTAGTAAAATGTTGGTATCGTGACTACACTAAATAGAATTACTAGAACAGACATTCCCATTCAAGTCATTCCTCTGTGATGGGTGGATTGGCAGCCATATGTAATTCTATAGTGCTCTCCATAGAAATAGAATGACTAGAATGGACACAAGTCATTCTTCTGTCCATTGGTAGATCGCCGGCCAATTTTTGTGGAGAGTTCTACTGTGAGACTGTATTGAGGACCTACAGTGAGGGAAAAAAGTATTTGATCCCCTGCTGATTTTGTACGTTTGCCCACTGACAAAGACATGATCAGTCTATAATTTTAATGGTAGGTTTATTTGAACAGTGAGAGACAGAATAACAACAAAAAAATCCAGAAAAAAATGTTATAAATTGATTTGCATTTTAATGAGGGAAATAAGTATTTGACCCCTCTGCAAAACATTACTTAGTACTTGGTGGCAAAACCCTTCTTGGCAATCACAGAGGTCAGACGTTTCTTGTAGTTGGCCACCAGGTTTGCACACATCTCAGGAGGGATTTTGTCCCACTCCTCTTTGCAGATCTTCTCCATGTCATTAAGGTTTCGAGGCTGACTTTTGACAACTCAAACCTTCAGCTCCCTCCACAGATTTTCTATGGGATTAAGGTCTGGAGACTGGCTAGGCCACTCCAGGACCTTAATGTGCTTCTTCTTGAGCCACTCCTTTGTTGCCTTGGCCGTGTGTTTTGGGTCATTGTCATGCTGGAATACCCATCCACAACCCATTTTCAATGGCCTGGCTGAGGGAAGGAGGTTCTCACCCAAGATTTGACGGTACATGGCCCCGTCCATCGTCCCATTGATGCGGTGAAGTTGTCCTGTCCCCTTAGCAGAAAAACACCCCCAAAGAATAATGTTTCCACCTCCATGTTTGAAGGTGGGGATGGTGTTCTTGGGGTCATAGGCAGCATTCCTCCTCCTCCAAACACGGCGAGTTGAGTTGATGCCAAAGAGCTCCATTTTGGTCTCATCTGACCACAACACTTTCACCCAGTTCTCCTCTGAATCATTCAGATGTTCATTGGCAAACTTCAGACGGCCCTGTATATATGCTTTCTTGAGCAGGGGGACATTGCGGGCGCTGCAGGATTTCAGTCCTTCACGGCGTAGTGTGTTACCAATTGTTTTCTTGGTGATTATGGTCCCAGCTGCCTTGAGATCATTGACAAGATCCTCCCGTGTAGTTCTGTGCTGATTCCTCACCGTTCTCATGATCATTGCAACTCCACGAGGTGAGATCTTGCATGGAGCCCCAGGCCAAGGGAGATTGACAGTTCTTTTGTGTTTCTTCCATTTGCGAATAATCGCACCAACTGTTGTCACCTTCTCACCAAGCTGCTTGGGGATGGTCTTGTAGCCCATTCCAGCCTTGTGTAGGTCTACAATCTTGTCCCTGACATCCTTGGAGAGCTCTTTGGTCTTGGCCATGGTGGAGAGTTTGGAATCTGATTGATTGATTGCTTCTGTGGACAGGTGTCTTTTATACAGGTAACAAGCTGAGATTAGGAGCACTCCCTTTAAGAGTGTGCTCCTAATCTCAGCTCGTTACCTGTATAAAAGACACCTGGGTGCCAGAAATCTTTCTGATTGAGAGGGGGTCAAATACTTATTTCCCTCATTAAAATGCAAATCAATTTATAACATTTTTGACATGCGTTTTTCTGGATTTTGTTGTTGTTATTCTGTCTCTCACTGTTCAAATAAACCTACCATTAAAATTATAGACTGATTTCTTTGTCAGTGGGCAAACTTACAAAATCAGCAGGGGATCAAATACTTCTTTCCCTCACTGTATGTCCTCATTTTTGTCAATGTCTGAATCCCTACCTGTCTCTCACACCTACCTTTTCTCCTTCTGTACCATAATATCTCTCTCTCTCTCTCTCTCTCTCTCTCTCTCTCTCTCTCTCTCTCTCTCTCTCTCTCAGGATGCTGGTCTGTTGGAGGGCAGGGTGACTCTGCGCCAGGTCAAAGCAGGCTCTGTGGTGGCCGGACAGGGAGACCAGGTCAGACACACACACAACATTTGCTGATTCACCTTTGGTCATACCCATCCACACCTGGGTTCAAATACTATTTTGAAACCATTTCAAATAATTTCTGTGCTTGATTGACATTGAGCGTTCATAGCTTAATGGACCAATAGAATAGTCCCTAAACTGTAAACCCCACCCATCTTGCACTCCAGGCAGGCCATAGCAAATGCTTAAAGTACTGGAAAGATTTAAAATAGTATTTGATCCCAGGTCTGTACCCATGTCTCATAGCTGTCTTCTCTCCCTGTGAGTGAGTATGTGTGTGTGTGTTGCAGGAAGTGAGTGTGGAGTTTGATTTCGGGCCTGTTGCATGTGTACCAGTGGATAATCGACCGCGAGGAGGACACATGTCTGTTTTTGACCCACCCCGGGGAGCTGGTGGGCCAGCTGGCTGTGCTGACCAGAGAACCTCTCATTTTCACTGTCCGAGCCCACCGAGACAGCAGCTTCCTCTCCATCTCCAAGACACACTTCTACGAGTGGGGCACAGGAAATACACATTGTCATACACATGTATTAGGGCATGTCAGACACTCTATAGTCACCTGTCGTTTGGTTTAATGTAAATTGTGTGTGCGTGTGTCTGTGTTCCCTCCTCAGAATCATGCTTGCAGAGCCCACGGTGGTACTGAACGTAGCTCACACGGCCATTCGGAGGATGTCGTCCTTCGTTAGGCAGATAGACTTTGCTCTGGACTGGATGGCTGTGGAGGCCGGCCAGGCAGTCTACAGGTAGGTAACCCCTCTCTCCACACTGTCTACACTCTCTCACACTCCTATCAGTTCACTGATCTATTTCCATCTCATCTAGAGATGTTACATCTGCAATGAAACCACAAGAGTGATTAGCCTTAACCTCAAACATGATAATGAAAGTCAAGACATTACCACAATCAAAAACATCTAAGATGGCTTAGCTGTGTGGTTGTGTATTCTGTTGTGTCCTCGTGTAAATAGCCAGTTTTTTTTTGTTGTTGTCTTTTTTCATATATATTTCTCTATCTCACTTTCCATTCTTTAACTAAATATACTTTCTTGCAACCCGCCTCACCCAATGTGGAATGGATTCTATTATTTCTTTATTTTTATCAAGAACCTACGGCTGAAACTAGCCAGCTAGGCAGCTAACTTGCTATTAGCCACCGTTAGCGGTCTTCACCACTGTCCGTGGCCTGCACTACCTTCCAGACAGCTCTAGCCTGGACAATTATCGGCCAGTCTGCACAGCGTGCTATCGACCCAGAGCATATCGTATTTTCTGCCGGAATCACTGAATCACTGGACCTTAACACCGGATCATCGCAACTAGCTAGCTGCAACCGAATGGCTGTTGTTGGCTAATCACCACTGTCCCGACGCACCAGTCAGCCTTGAGCTAGCCTCGAGCCAGGCCCATCTCCCGGCTATCTACCTCTCTGTCAACCGGACGGGACCTCCTAGTGTCGACACGGAGCCCCGCCGATCCATCACGACTGGTCTGCCGACGTAATCGTCTGATGTGGTTTCAACAGGCTTCCCGTTGCGAAGACCACGAAGATCCATCTGCTAGCCCCGGCCCGCTAGCACGCACAATCAACAGCCGTGCCTCCTGCTCGCCTGTGCTGTAGCAGCCTACGAACTGCTCCCGGACTTACCTATTGCTGTTCACAGGACCTTATGATCACTCAGCTTCACAGCTGATGCCTGCTGGACTGTTACTTTACACGGTACCCCATCCTGTTTATCTGTTTAGCCTCAGCCCAAACTTTCGTCCCGTTACCAGTTGTTGTCTTAGCCCTCTCGAATAACACCTGTGATTGCGTTATGCCTCTCTCCCATGTCAATATGCCTAGCCTATTGCTGTTTGGGTAGTTCTTATTGTACTATTTCACTGTAAAGCCCCCAGTCCCGCTCAACCTGCCTCAGATAGCTCCTTTGTCCACCCCACATACACGCGGAGACCGGCTCAATCGGTACCTCCAGTGATGCTATCTCTTTCATCGTTACCCAATGCTTAGGGGTACCTCCACTGTACTCATATCCTTCCATATCCTTGTCTGTACATAATGCCCTGAATCTATTCTACAACACCCGGAAATCTGCCCCTTTTATTCTCTGTACACAACGCACTAGAAGACCAGTTCTTAAAGCCTTTAGCCGTATCCTTATTCTGTTCCTCTGGTGATGTAGAGGTTAACCCAGGCCCTGTAGCCCCCAGTATCACTCCAAATCCCCAGGTGCTATAATTTGTTGACTTCTGTAACCGTAAAAGCCTTGGTTTCTTGCATGTTAACATCAGAAACCTTCTCCCCAAGTTTGAGTTATTCACTGCGTTAGCACACTCTGCCAACCCTGATGTTCTAGCAGTGTCTGAATCCTGGCTTAGGAAGGCCACCAAAAATGCTGAAATTTCCATCCCGAACTACAACATTTTCCGTCTAGATAGAACTGCCAAAGGGGGCGGAGTTGCAATCTACTGTAGAGATAGCCTGAAGAGCTCTATCATACTATCCAGGTCTGTGCCCAAACAGTTTGAGCTTCTACTTCTAAAAATCCACCTTTCCAGAAATAAGTCTCTCACTGTTGCCGCCTGCTACAGACCCCCCTCAGCCCCCAGTTGTGCCCTGGGCACCATATGTGAATTGCTTGCCCCCCATCTATCCTCAGAGTTCGTACTGCTTGGTGACCTAAACTGGGATATGCTTAACACCCCGGCCGTCCTACAATCTAAACTAGATGCCCACAATCTCACACAATTTATTCAAGGAACCTACCAGGTACAACCCTAAATCCGTAAACATGGGCACCCTCATAGATATCATCCTGACTAATTTACCCTCTAAATACACCTCCGCTGTCTTCAACCAGGATCTCAGCGATCACTGCCTCATTGCCTGTGTCCGTAATGGGTCCGCGGTCAAACGACCACCCCTCATCACTGTCAAACGCTCCCTATAACACTTCAGCGAGCAGGCCTTTCTAATTGACCTGGCCCGGGTATCCTGGATGGATATTGACCTCATTCCGTCAGTAGAGGATACCTTGATGTTCTTCAAAAGTGCTTTCCTCTCCGTCTTAAATAAGCATGCCCCATTCAAAAAATGCAGAACTAAGAACAGATATAGCCTCTGGTTCACCCCAGACTTGACTGCCCTTGACCAGCACAAAAACATCCTGTGGCGTACTGCATTAGCATCGAACAGCCCCCGCGATATGCAACTTTTCAGGGAAGTCAGGAACCAATATACACAATCAGTTAGGAAAGCAAAGGCTAGCTTTTTCAAACAGAAATGTGCATCCTGTAGCACTAACTCCAAAATGTTTTGGGACACTGTAAAGTCCATGGAGAATAAGAGCACCTCCTCCCAGCTACCCAATGCACTGAGGCTAGGAAACACTGTCACCACCGATAAATCTACGATAATCGAGAATTTCAATAAGAATTTTGCTACGGCTGGCCATGCTTTCCACCTGGCTTCTCCTACCCCGGCCACCAGCTCTGCACCCTCCACTGCAACTTGCCCATGCCCCCCCCCCCCCCCCGCATCTCCTTCACCCAAATTCAGATAGCTGATGTCCTGAAAGAGCTGCAGAATCTGGACCCCTACAAATCAGCTGGGCTAGACGATCTGGACCCTTTCTTTTTTAAATTAGCCGCCGAAATTGTCACAACCCCTATTACTAGCCTGTTCAACCTCTCTTTCGTATCGTCTGAGATCCCCAGAGATTGGAAAGCTGCCGCGGTCATTCCCCTCTTCAAAGGGGGTGACACTCTAGATCCAAACTGTTACAGACCTATATCCATCCTGCCCTGCCTTTCGAAAGTATTTGAATGCCAAGTTAACAAACAGATCACCGACCATTTCGAATCCCACCGTACCTTCTCTGCCATGCAATCTGGTTTACGAGCTGGTCATGGGTGCACCTCAGCCACGCTCAAGGTCCTAAACGATATAATAACCGCGATCGTTAAAAGATAGTACTGTGCAGCCGTCTTCATCGACCTGGCCAAGGCTTTCGACTCTGTCAATCACCACATTCTTATTGGCAGACTAAATAGCCTTGGTTTCTCAAATGACTGCCTCACCTGGTTCACCAACTACTTCTCAGATAGAGTTCAATGTGTCAAATCGGAGGGCCTGTTGTCTGGACCTCTGGCAGACTATGGGGGTGCCACAGGGTTCAATTCTCGGGCCGACTCTATTCTCTGTGTATATCAATGATGTCGTTCTTGCTGCTGGTGACTCTCAGATCCACCTCTACGCAGACGACACCATTTTGTATACATCTGGCCCTTCATTGGACACTGTGTTAACAAACCTTAAAACGAGCTTCAATACCATACAACACTCCTTCCGTGGCCTCCAACTGCTCTTAAACACTAGTAAAACTAAATGCATGCTCTTCAATCGAACGCTGCTTGCACCCGCCCGCCCGACTAGAATCACTACTCTCGGCGGGTCTGACTTAGAATATGTGGACAACTACAAATACCTAGGTGTCTGGTTAGACTGTAAACTCTCCTTCCAGACTCACATTAAGCATCTCCAATCCAAAGTTAAATCTAGAATCGGCTTCCTATTTCGCAACAAAGCCTCCTTCACTCATGCTGCTAAACATGCCCTCGTAAAACTGACTATCCTACCGATCCTTGACTTCGGCGATGTCATTTACAAAATAGCTTCCAACACTCTACTCAGTAAATTGGATGTAGTCTATCACAGTGCCATCAGTTTTGTCACCAAAGCCCCATATACTACCCACCATTGTGACCTGTATGCTCTCGTTGGCTGGCCCTCACTACATATTCGTCGCCAAACCCACTGGCTCCATGTCATCTATAAATCACTTCTAGGCAAATCCCCGCCTTATCTTAGCTCATTGGTCACCATAGCAACACCCACCCGTAGTATGCGTTCCAGCAGGTATATCTCACTTGTCATCCCCAAAGCCAACACCTCCTTTGGCCGCCATTCCTTCCAGTTCTCTGCTGCAAATGACTGGAACGAACTGCAAAAATCTCTGAAGCTGGAGACACTTATCTCCCTCACTAACTTTAAGCATCAGTTGTCAGAGCAGCTTTCCGATCACTGCACCTGTACACAGCCCATCTGTAATTAGCCTACCTAACTACCTCATCCCCATATTGTTATTTACATTGTTATTTATTTTGCTCATTTGCATCCCAGTATCTCTATTTGCACATCATCTTCTGCACATCTATCACTCCAGTGTTAATACTAAATTGTAATTATTTTGCACTATGGCCTATTTATTGCCTTACCTCCATAACTTACTACATTTGCACACACTGTATATAGATTTTCTATTGTGTTATTGACTGTACATTTTGTTTATTCCATATGTAACTCTGTGTTGTTGTTTTTTTTATCGCACTGCTTTGCTTTATCTTGGCCAGGTCGCAGTTGTAAATGAGAACTTGTTTAAAAAAAAATAATTCTACACACTGATTTGGAAGCTTGAATTTGAGTCTGGCTGTGTTCAAGTGTGGTGACATTGAAGTCGTAAAGTTGAAATAAACCCCCCTACTCTCTCCCTTTCTCCCTTCTATCTCTCTCAGACGGGGATAAGTCCGACAGCACCTTCATAGTTCTGAGTGGCCGTCCGCGCTCCGTCATCATGAAGGAGGAGGAGCAAGAAGGAGCTGACCGGAGAGTATGACCACGGTGACCTCATCAGCGTGGTAGGGGGTCAAATGTTGGGGGTCACAATGGGTGGTACCGTTGCAAAACGCAGCAGCCGTGGAACAAACAATGTCAGGCTTTTAAAGATGTCATAGTGTTATTGATTGTAGACGTAAGCAAACCCATTTAGACACTGTTTCATGCAGGATCAGGCTTAAGCCCCACCCTGACAGGGCTATTCCCCACCTATCTCTGAGCTATGTGTGTTACACTGCTGACATGGCTTTGCGTTGCCGCGGTGACGCCCACACTGCTAAGAATACCTGCCTGAGCCGACTCGGCCGATGCCATGGTTACTGGCTCCAGAGGTTAGCCGTAGTTGCAGTGTCCATGGGGACGGGTTTTGGTGAGCATGGCGGAATGCTCGTCAGCGATCCTGATGCTAGGATACAGAATTAGATCCTGTGTGTACGTCACCAGCACCACAGTGTTATTACAGAGAGGGATCCAGTGCTTTGATATGTAAGGGCATTGCCTGGCTGGCTGGTGCTGATTGAAATAGACACAGGAGAACCAGTGGGGCTTTAATTGTCTGGCTCACCAATGTACCATTCAATTTTTGGCCCATTCCTCAGATCACAAGTTTTATCTTAGATAGTTATTGTTATTATCTGCACCAGTCAGTGCTTTTTTAAACTAAATGTGTTCCTATTTGTATGGCTAAGATAATTTCAACTCCTTATTAAAAACAAGGATCGTGCAATGATTATGAAATCAATGGCAAGAGTGTTAGGGGTTAAGTTTGGTGCATAGTTCCTGTATGATGATTGGCAGTGTTGACCAATGGGAGCCTGTGGGGTTTCTAGTGACCCCGCCCAGGTGGAGGCCCTGACCCATCAGAACAGAGCAACCACGGTGCATGCAGTACGGGACTCTGAGCTGGCCAAACTACCAGAGGGAGCACTCGGCTTCATCAAGAGGAAGTTCCCGCAGGTACGTAGTTCAACTGGCGTTCAGGCACACGCACACGCTCATGGCTCACTCACACACTCACACACACACATACACACACACAACTCACACTCACTAATTCACACACATGACACACACGACACTCCTACAGACACACGTGCTCTCTGTCTTGTGTTTCAGGTAGTCACAAGGTTGATCCACCTTCTTGGCCAGAAGATCCTTCAGCAGGTCAATGGCCCTCTGACAGGTGTGTGCGTGTACGTGCGTGTGTGTGTAGATGTGTGTGTGCAGGCATGTGTTTTACACAGAAGGATCTGACTCCTCCTTTATCTGCTAGATATAACATATCTTTATGATAATGTTGCTGTCTCTATCCATAGCTGTGTATCTGTCCTCTCAGTTCGAAGTCTGGCCCTGCACACCCCTAGTAGTAAGTGGGATGCAGGGAACCCGGCCTCAAACCTGTCCACTGTCACCTTGCTGCCTGTGTCTGAGGAGGTGCCTCTCACAGCCGTCACACTGAAGCTGCAGGATGCACTCATTTTCATTGGTAACCACACACACACACACACACTCACATACAGTGCATTCGGAAAGTATTCAGACCCCTTGACTTTTTCCACATTTTGTTACGTTACAGCCTTATTATAAAATGGATTATATACTTTTTTCCCCTCATCAATATACACACAATACCCCATAATGACAAAGTGAAAACAGTTTTTTTTTATTTTATTTTTTTAAACGTTTTTAAAAAAACGATACCTTATTTACATAAGTATCCAGACCCTTTGATTTGAGACTCGAAATTGAGCTCAGGTACATCCTGTTTCCATTGTCATCCTTGAGATGGTTCTACAACTTGATTGGAGTCCACCTGTGGTAAATTCAATTGATTGGACATGATTTGGAAAGGCACACACCTGTCTAAATAAGGTCCCACAGTTGGAAGTGTCAGAGCAAAAACCAAGCCATGAGGTCGAGGGAATTGTCTGTAGAGCTCCGAGACAGGATTGCCGAGGCACAGATCTGGGGAAGGGTACCAAAACATTTCTGCAGCATTGAAGGTCCCCAAGAATACAGTGGCCTCAGTCATTCTTAAATGGAAGAAGTTTGGAACCACCAAGACTCTTCCTAGAGCTGGCTGCCCGGGCAAACTGAGCAATCGGGGGAGTAGGGCCTTGGTCAGGGAGGTGACCAAGAACCCGATGGTCACTCTGACAGAGCTCCAGAGTTCCTCTGTAGAGATGGGAGAACCTTCTAGAAGAACAACCATCTCTACAGCACTCCACCAATCAGGACTTTATGGTAGAGTGGCCAGACGGAAGCCACTCCTAAGGAAAAGGCACATGACAGCCCGCTTGGAGTTTGCCAAAAGGCACCAAAAGGACTCTCAGACCATGAGAAACAAGATGTCAAAAATGTCAACAACAAAAAAAATGATCTGGTCTGATGAAACCAAGATTGAACTCTTTGGCCTGAATGCCAAGCGTCACGTCTGGAGGAAACCTGGACCATCCCTACAGTGAAGCATGGTGGTGGCAGCATCATGCTGTGGGGATGTTTGTCACCGGCAGTAACTGGGAGACTAGTCAGGATCGAGGGAAAGATGAACAGAGCAAAGTACCGAAAGATCCTTGATGAAAACCTGCTCCAAAGCGCTCAGGACCTCAGACTGGAGTGAAGGTTCACCTTCCAACATGACAATGACCCTAAGCACACAGCCAAGACAACACAGGAGTGGCTTCGGGACAAGTCTCTGAATGTCCTTGAGTGGCCCTGCCAGGACCTGGAAATGAACCCGATCTAACATCTCTGGAGAGACCTGAAAATAGCTGTGCGTCGACGCTCCCCATCCAACCTGACAGCGCTTGAGAGGATCTGCAGAGAAGAATGGGAGAAACTCCCCAAATATAGGTGTGCCAAGCTTGTAGCGTCATACCCAAGAAGACTCGAGGCTGTAATCGCCTGCAAAGGTGCTTCAACCAAGTACTGAGTAAAGGGTCTGAATACTTATGTAAATGTATATTTCCGTTTTTTAAATTCTTTATAAATGTGCACACATTTATAAAAACCTGTTTTTGCTTAGTCATTAATGGGGTATTGTGTGTAGAGCGATGAGGGGAAAAAAACTATATAATCCGTTTCAGAATAAGGCTGTAACGTAACAAATTGTGGGAAAAGTCAAGGGGTCTGAATACTTTCCGAATGCACTGTACACACACACACACACCTTGCATTCACACACACACACTCTCTTTCTCTCTTACACACACACACACAATTATTGACATCATGTCAGTTCAAGGCTGTCTGGACAGTGCAGTTCAGCAGTGCTGTCCTTCCATAGATTTTTACCCTAGCACTGCACAGCTGATTCAAATAACCATCTCCTCATCCAGCTTTGATCATTTGAATCAGCTGTGTAGTGCTAGGGCAAAAACCAAAACAAACACCCAGGCGGGGCCCCAGGATCGAGTTTGGGAAACCCTGGTCTAGAAGACCAGCCTATGTTGTTATCAGACCCTGGCCCTTGGTGGAGTCATTAGTGCACACCGTAGCAAACAGTTGCAAAACGTTCAGTAATGGAAATGGCTTTGCAATAAAAACTAGTGTTTCTATTGCACAAATTCAGGTAGGAAGCTGCCTGTTTCATTCCGCTTGTCTGTCTGACAGACTGACAGAGACTGACATACTGGCAGACAGTGAGCAAGAGACCGACAAACAAATGAAACAGGAAAGGACAATAGTTTTCGTTGCAAAACTAGCATTGGCTTTAGAAGAGGTTAGCTAGCTTAGTGTGTTAGCATGGTGCTTGGGGAGAGGTTAGTTAGCTTAGCGTGTTAGCATGGTGCTTAGTGAGAGATTAGCCAATTTAGCGTGTTAGCATGGTGCTTGGGGAGAGGTTAGCTAGCTTAGCGTGTTTGCATGGTGCTTGGGGAGAGATTAGCTAATTTAGCGTGTTAGCATGGTGCTTGGCAGAGAAAGCCCCTGTGTTTGTAGTGGGATTAAGGTTAGTGCAGATCATTAGGTTCTTTAATCATGTGTTTGCTGTGTGTTTAAACGGGCTCAATGGCCAAAGCTACAATGCATGGTATGTTTTCTCAACCTTAGAGAAGTGAGAGTGGTGAAATGGAGAGAATGAAAAGGTAGAGAAGGTTGTGTGGGGAAGGGGAAAAGGGTCTAAGTCGGTCAGGTGGATGAGAAATAATTGCATCCACTGGAGAAGGGGGATAAAGTATTGAAAGAAAAGAGGGAAAGAATGGAGGTGTAGACTGAACTGGAGAGAGGTGGATCAATATTTGCTCAAGCAGCAGAATGAGTCATAGCTTCCGGTTGATTGGATCTCCTCACCCTCCCTCACCAGCTCAAACATGGGGTTGCATCCCAAATGGCACCCTATTTCCCACATAGTGCACTACTTTTGACCAGAACCCTAAAGGTACTGGTCAAAAGTAGTGCACTATGTAGGGAATAGGGTGCCATTTGGGACGCAGACTGGGACCTTGTGGTAAAGAACCTAATGACCGATCATACAGTGTGTCTGGGGCTTGGTGACAGGGTTGACCTCGCTGACCACTTATCTCTGATATGATATCGACTTACTGAGATGGAGAGAAATACTAACCACACACAGACAGACTCAAGTGGCTCGATATTATTGTGTAATAGACTCCTCTCCTCTCTGCCTAACTGCTACTGTAGTTTTTATTGTGGTTCAAATGGTTGTCTTTCTGCATAAAGTGTGCCTATATACAGTCCATTCGGAAAGTATTCAGACCCCTTGACTTTTTCCACATTTTGTTATGTTACAGCCTTATTCTAAAATGGATTAGTGTTTTTTTCCCCTCATCATTCTACACACAATACCCCATAATGACAAAGCAAAACAGGTTTTTAGAAATTTTTGCAAAGTTATATAAAAAAATAACAGAAATATCACATTTACATAAGTATTCAGACCCTTTACTCAGTACTTTGTTAAAGGGAAAGGGGGATACTTAGTCAGTTGTACAACTGAATGCGTTCAACTGAAATGTGAATGCGTTCAACTGAATCAGAGAGGTGCAGGGGGCTGCCTTAATCGACATCCACGTCATCGGCGCCCGGGGAACATTGGGTTAACTGCCTTGCTCAGGGGCAGAACGGTAGATTTTTACCTTGTCCGTTTGGGGTTACTGGCCCAATATCTCTCTGTACTTTGCTCGGTTCATCTTTCCCTCATTCCTGACTAGTCTCCCAGTCCCTGCCGCTGAAAAACATCCCCACAGCATGATGCTGCCACCACCATACTTCACCGTAGGGATGGTGCCAGGTTTCCTCCAGACATGACGCTTGGCATTCAGGCCAAAGAGTTCAATCTTGGTTTCATCAGACCAGATAATCTTGTTTCTCATGGTCTGAGAGTCCTTTAGGTGCCTTTTGGAAAACTCCAAGCGGGCTGTCATGTGCCTTTTACTGAGGAGTGGCTTCCGTCTGGCCACTCTACCATGAAGGCCTGATTGGTGGAGTGCTGCAGAGATGGTTGTCTTTCTGGAAAGTTCTCCCATCTCCACAGAGGAACTCTGGAGTTCTGTCAGAGTGACCATCGGGTTCTTGGTCACCTCCCTGACCAAGGCCCTTCTCCCCCGATTGCTCAGTTTGGCCGGGCGGACAGCTCTAGGAAGAGTCTTGGTGGTTCCAAAACTTCTTCCATTTAAGAATGATGGAGGCCACTGTATTCTTGGGGACCTTCAATACTGCAGACATTTTTTGGTACCCTTCCCCAGGTCTGTGCCTCGACAAAATCCTGTCTCGGAGCTCTACGGACAATTCCTTCGACCTCATGGCTTGGTTTTTGCTCTGACAACTTTCTCAATTCATCTTTCCTCGAGTCGTCGCATCCTCCGTCCTCACCTCCTTCTCAAAATGCATTGGAAGAAAAAGTCAAAGGGGAAGGACATTGGATATTTTCATCAAAAATTCCTTGAGAAGGAGGCAAGGAGAAGGGACGCAAGGAATCCAGGAAAGACAACTGTCACCTATTTGCAAGTGTTTACATTTTGGCCAGGATGGTCTAAGAGGTATTGCGACCTCAATGGGACAAAGTGGTAAAATAAAGGTGAAATATAAGAGTTCTCATCGATTTGTTCCCGGTCTTTTTGGCAGTGTGTTGCAGGAGATGACATCAGTTTAAAAAAAGGTGTTGGACCTGACCTACCCCATCACTTCTATGTTCTCTGGCGCTGCCTTCAACTCCAGCATTTACACAGTGTTCAAGGGCAAGCAGATAGAGGTGAGGGACAGAGAAACCTTCACAGCACAGCTGGAGTTAGACAGTCTTGGGGCTCTCTCTTGTAAAAGGGATTTTTCATCTTAATCATGTGATCACGTGTAAATAAAGAATAGAATCGTCTGTTGTATACATTCTGATAAAGATTTTACTTATTATATCTAGCTAATAAGTAGCTTGCACCAAAATGCGTCGGCAATAAATATAATTGAAGGGAATTAAGCTGCCGTCCTGAACCTTCTTTTACAATTGCAATATCAACATAACCATTTAATGACTAGTGGTGCTGTTGTTTGTGCAGGACCTGTGAATCCCCTATTTCAACATCACCACTGACATCACTGACGGTAAGGCCTCCATACTCTCTCTGTCCACCTGCATGTGTTTCTCTTTCTCTGTCTGTCTCTGTCTTTTAACCCTCTGTCCTCCTCTGTTTTAACTGATGAGAAATGTACATGTGAAGAAGGCACCTGTCCCTCTTTTATCCGCCTACATAGACATCTGTCCATTTCCCCCTCTCTCAGGCTCTTTGTAAAGGTACGTGCATGCCAGCATGTCCCTCTCTGGCTACCTGCCCCCTCTCTGTGACCCTAAAGACGGACACCTACTGATGGATAGAGGCTACATCAACAACCTGCCAGGTCAGCAACACACACACAGTACTTCTCTCCTGCTCAGCGACGTAATCCAAAATGTTCATTGTTACTGTCTAAGCCCGAAGCCTGCCTCTCTGCCCCTCCCAGCGGACGTGGCTCGCTCCATGGGTGCCAAGGTGGTGATCGCCATAGACGTTGGCAGCCAGGACGAGACCAACCTCACCAACTACGGCTACTAAAGTCAAGGTGAGCCTCTCTACAGCCTCAGGTACTGTGTAAACCAAAATATATTTTATTAATACACCTTTAATGGCTTGTGCTAATTTGCAATTCATTTCTATGACTTGGTATTGGGTTCATATCGGAGTCAAATTTTGTTTTTGTTTACTAAGAATATACATGGCATTTTTTTATTACTCGGAATGTAAAGGATTACTTAGGATGCATCCCAAATGGTACCATATTCCCTATTTAGTGCACTGCTTTTGCTCTGGTCAAAAGTAGCGCACTATAAGGAACAGGGTGTAATTCGGGATGCAACAATAAGACACTGAAGGTATGAGCACAGTTCAGTTGTCACGCTATTCAGGGTGGTATTTGAGCTTTGACACCTGTAGGTGTTGAACATGACAGAGATCCAGATGCGGCTGTTATGTGCGTCAGCTGGAGTCAGTGAAGAGCAGTGACTACTGCGAGTACAGCAGACCGCCCATAGACCGCTACCGCACACTGGAGTTTGGCAAGTTCGACGAGATCCCTGTGAGTCTCACTCTTTGTCTTTGACATGGGCAGTTGGTCTGTGTCATTCAGTCTCTTTTTTGCTTCCTCTGGCTCTCACATGCTCCCCCTCTTACTCTAGACCTCACTTCTTCACACTTCACCATTCATCTCTCTGTCCTCCTCCTCCATTCTCTGTAAATTCTCAGGTCTGATGAAACCAAGTGTTTTTAAGGATTGCCTGAGACCCCCCCCCTCAATTAGCTACATTAGATTCAGCCTTGTGTATGACATTTGTGTGTGATTATGACATTTGTGTGTGAGTATTGTATGTGTGTGTGTGTGTGTGTGTGTGTGTGTGTGTGTGTGTGTGTGTGTGTATGTTTGTGTCCTGCAGGAGGTGGGCTACCAGCATGGCAAGACTGTTTGACATGTGGAGTCGCAGTGGAGTGGGGGAGAAGATGCTGAAGGACCGCCAGCAGGAGGAGTCTCACAACACACACAGCAACAACAACGTGAGGGAGGGAGGATCAGGGAGAGAGGGAGGATCAGGGAGGGAGGGAGGATCAGGGAGGGAGGATCAGGGAGGGAGGGAGGATGAGGGAGGGAGGATCAGGGAGGGAGGGAGGGAGGGAGGGAGTGTTAAAAGGAAGAAAATCCTTACTCACTATTAGAGATGGAATAGCAGACATCATACTTTTACAGAGTTTTGATGATGCCGTTTTTTAAAGGAGTGCTCTAGATATTGTAGAATTGTGTATTTTAATGCGATTGTTCTAAAGGATTTCTGTATGAAGCCCCTAGTCAAAGATACCTGTGCGCTGTCTGTCACATGTGTCCTGCAGGGACCTGTGACCTGTCACAACGCCTCCTTCACTGACCTGGCTGAGATCGTGTCCCGCATCGAGCTGGCCAAACCTGCTCTGGTAGACGGTGAGACTGGCACATTATCTTATCAGCACATAGAGCAGCAGAGTGCTGTGGAGGTCATGGAGGTCAAACAGGCATCTGAAGGTGTAGGCAACAATAATACCACATGACCTCTGAGATCTTAGCTATTTGGCAACAAGAGTCCCATCCTGTTTTCACAACCTCACAGCAACATTTTCACAACTTTGTAAAAATTATTTTATTTTGCCAGCTGGGAAGAGGCTGCGAGCCAGTAGCTAGCTAGCTGTTTACTTTTCTGTTGCCATCACAGCTGAAGTAGTTGAATATTTATGTTTTTAATGACGCTCTGCTAGCTTTTGACCCCCCTCTCATCTCTCTTTCATGGGTTTGGCTCTCTGCCTCCTGTACATTGCTGTCCTGTGGAAGATAAAATATTATTTTATTTTGTCTTCCTCCTTGCTTGTTATTGTTGAATATTGTTTGGACTCTTTGAGATGGGCTGTGTTTATGCTGCCACACTCACTTAGCATATACATTTGTTGCAGAGCCACAGAAGTGGTTTGTTAAATTATGACGAATATGCAGCTATGACTAGAGTGGCATTTTGTTACAGTTCCTGTACTTACACCTCTCCTTCCCTCTCTTTCTCCCTCCTTCCTCCCTCCAGTTTCTCTTTCTTCCCTCTTTCCACCCCTCCACCCTTCCGTATCTCAGAGCAGTCTGACTACCCCACAGACTACATTTACATTTACGTCATTTAGCAGATGCTCTTATCCAGAGTGACTTACAAATTGGTGCATTCACCTTACAGCCAGTGAGATAACCACTTTACAATGTTTTTTTGTGTTTTTTTTTGGGGGGGGGTGGGGTAGAAGGATTACTTTATCCTATCCCAGGTATTCCTTAGACTAGTAGCAGGAGGCGGTGGTGAGTTCCTACTCAGATGTTGAGCTGTCCAATCACTACAGCGAACACACCACTGAGGGGGAGGAGACTGCGGACACGGTGCAGTGAAGCTTTGAATGTTGATGTTTTTTCTTGGTTTATCTGGGTATTGCATCACTTTCTCTCTCCTTTGAGACTCCTGAGATCAGCCTTATGACTTAATCACTGTAGCTCCACCTCTTCCCCAGGATGAAGAGCTGCTGGACAGGGGGTGCAGGCGTCGCCCTCCTCCCCCAGGTTCTAGTGGGGGGGGGGTTAAAATGTGAACTACTGGGCGTAGGCTAATGCTATATAGTGCTTATGCACAGGCACATCCAAGACAGCTGTAAAACACAGCTGATTTGACTAATGGATCATTAGCCTTTACTTACCTCTAGAACTTACCTCTAATGTTGATGCTAGCACCAGTAGCCTTGCATTGTGTTGTAGTTAATGGAAAGTCTCTTTGGTACAGATCCCGTGTAAGTCTGCGTCCTAAATAGCACCCTATTCGCTTTGGTGCACAGGGCCCATAGGGCACGGGGATAGGATGCCACATGGGACGCAACCTGTCTAAATGGAGAAGAGACACAGTATGTGTTGTGTGTGAGCGCATGTCAGAAACAGAAGGAGGGTGTATCATGGATGTGTTACAGTGTGGCATTTCTCTAGCAGTTGGCGAAGTTGATACAACTGTAGGGCCAATGTACGGTCAGCCTCACAGTTCTGGATAGGGTCCAATTCAAAGGCACAATTGATGTGGTACAATAAACAAGGGCATATTGAATTAATTAGCTAAATGGAAAGTGCTGTTGGATAATGATTGATGACTACAGTGAAGTAATTTAAGATATATGAATTTGTCGCCACGGTTTACAAAATGCATACATACAGTATCAGTCAAAAACACCTACTCATTCAAGGGTTTTTCTTTATTGTAACTATTTTCTACATTGTAGAATAATAGTGAAGACATCAAAACTATTAAATAACACATATGGAATCATGTAGTAACCAAAAAAGTGTTAAACAAATCAAAATATATTTTATATTTGAGATTCTTCAAAGTAGCCACCCTTTTCCTTGATGACAGCTTTGCACACTCTTGGCATTCTCTCAACCTACTTCACCTGGAATGCTTTTCCAACAGTCTTGAAGGAGTTCCCACATATGCTGAGCACTTTTTGGCTGCTTTTCCTTCACTCTGCGGTCCAACTCATCCCAAACCATCTCAATTGGTTTGAGGTCGGGGGATTGTGGAGGCCAGGTCTTCTGATGCAGCACTCCATCACTCTCCTTCTTGATCTAATAGCCCATACACAGCCTGGATGTGTGTTGGGTCATTGTCCTGTTGAAAAACAAATGATTGTCCCGCTAAGCCCAAACAAGATGGGATGGCGTATCACTGCAGAATGCTGTGTTAGCCATGCTGGTTAAGTGTGCCTTGAATTCTAAATAAATCACAGACAGTGTCACCAGCAAAGCACCCCCACACCATCACACCTCCTCCTCCATGCTTCACGGTGGGAACTACACATGCGGAGATCATCCGTTCACCTACACTGCGTCTCACAAAGACACAGCAGTTGGAACCAAAAATCTCAAATTTGGACGTCAGACCAAAGGACAAATTTCCACCGGTCTAATGTCCATTGCTCGTGTTTCTTGGACCAAGCAAGTCTCTTCTTCTTATTGGTGTCTTTTAGTAGTGGTTTCTTTGCAGCAATTCGACCATGAAGGCCTGATTCACGCAGTCTCCTCTGAACAGTTGATGTTGAGATGTCTCTTGAACTCTGTGAAGCACTTATTTGGGCTGCAATTTCTGAGGCTGGTAACTCTAATGAACTTATCCTCTGCAGCAGAGGTAACTCTGGGTCTTCCTTTCCTGTGGCTGTCCTCATGAGAGCCAATTTCATCATAGCACTTGATGGTTTTTGCGACTGCACTTGAAGAAACGTTCAAAGTTCTTGACATTTTCTGGATTGACCTTCATGTCTTAAAGTAATGATGGACTGTAATTTCTCTTTGATTATTTGAGCTGTTCTTGTCATAATATGGACTTGATCTTTTACCAAATAGGGCTATCTTCTGTATACCCCCCCCCCCCCCCTAGTTTTGATGTCTTCACTATTATTCTACAATGTAAAAAATAGTAAAACTTAAGAAAAACCCTTGAATGAGTAGGTGTCCAAACTTTTGACTGGTATTGTGTATGCTCAGTGAAAGCAACAAAGCTTTTTGTGACTTACTGAACTAAACTGGACAACTTGACCATTCCAACATTTCAAGCTACTTAATGGTGCCTTTTTATATTGACTGACTATTACATGCTGATTAGTTAAACTTGAATGTTGAGCACAGTTTGCCAATCACCCTGTAAAACAGTGAAGGACTTGTGTACTATTAAGAGTTGCTTCTGTCTGACTATTATTTGTACCAGATAATGTTTTTGATAATCCAGTGCATAACCCTACTCACTATTAATAAACCACTATTGGTTAGTTGAGTGTTTTGTATTTTATCTCTCTTTACATTGTGTCCATTTCACCATCTTTGTCCTGATAGGGAGGGGATTTGTTTAAGCTGGCCCGGGGCACTGGGTGGGCGAAGTTTGCACCAGGTTCAAAGTGATTCCATTCTTTTGGTAACCTGGCTGCCTCCCTGGTGTGAACCGGCTGCCCTGTTCAAAGCTGATGGCGAAGTCGGCTTAAAACAAGAGACATATGTTCAAGCAAGTGGAGTAATGAGTTAGAATTCAGAGTTTTCACATGCTCTTGATAAAAATGCAGATAAAGCTTTATCTGCCATCCTTCTACCTCCCTCCCAGACATATGTTATATGTTTCTGAATGATCGGTCATGCTGCCTTGCATGATAATCTGTGGTGGCGCAGAAACTAGTTTGATTTGAGCAAGGTGTTACACCATCACTGGTTTAGACCGGTCACGTGACAGGCCATAGCCCGGTGCAGCCCGGTTCAGTCTAATCTAACTACCCCCATTGTGTGTGTGTACACATGCTCTGTTCTCTTGTTGGTGGGACCTGTGATTATATTTACATTTACATTTTAGTCATTTAGCAGACGCTCTTATCCAGAGCGACTTACAGTTAGTGAATATTTTTTTTTTTTTTATATACTGGCCCCCCGTGGGAATCGAACCCACAACCCTGGCGTTGCAAACACCATGCTCTATCAACTGAGCTACATCCCTGCCGGCCATTCCCTCCCCTACCCTGGACGACGCTGGGCCAATTGTGCGCCACCCATGAGTCTCCCGGTCGTGGCCGGCTGCGACAGAGCCTGGATTCAAACCAGGATCTCTAGTGGCACAGTTAGCACTGCGATGCAGTGCCTTAGACCACTGCGCCACTCAGGAGTCTTTTACATTTACATTTACATTTTAGTCATTTAGCAGACGCTCTTATCCAGAGCAATTAGGGTTAAGTGCCTTGCTCAAGGGCACATCGACAGATTTTTCACCTAGTCAGCTCAGGGATTAGAACCAGCGACCTTTCGGTTACTGGCACAACGCTCTTAACCACTAGGCTACACCCATTATATCTGATGGGGCAGTACATAGAGGCCTGTCTGTCAGAGCTGAGTGATGGAAGAGCCCTGAAGCCTGACTGTCAACTGAAAAGCTGGAACCAGCACACTGACGTCCTCAGATTACTGCAATACACACCTTCTAGAATAAACCTTAGACTTCCCTCACTACAGACAGGGATACACTTAAACACCCCTCACACACACACACACACACACACACTTACATGCTGAGTGGGCTGCCCTGTCCGTCTGGATTCCCCCGTAATCCAGACTCTGTTGTAGCCGGGCGCGACCGGGAGACCCATGGGGCGGCGCACAATTAGCCAGCGTCGTCCAGGGTAGGGGAGGGAATGGCCGGCAGGGATGTAGCTCAGTTGGTAGAGCATGGCGTTTGCAACGCCAGGGTTGTGGGTTCGATTCCCACGGGGGGCCAGTATGAAAATGTATGCACTCACTTAACTGTAAGTTGCTCTGGTTAAGAGCGTCTGCTAAATGACTAAAATGTAAATGTAATAGTGAGTGATTCACTGGGATTGGAGACGCTGCATTACTCATCGAGTGTACTGGTAAAATATGTTCTCTCCCCTGATTTGGCCTGACTAGACTTCAAAAACACAATGAAACCACTTTAAAGGTCCAATGCAGCCGTTTTTATCTCAATATGAAATAATTTCTGGGTAACAATTAAGTAACTTACTGTGATTTGTTTTCAATTAATATGGTCAAAAAGAAACAAAAAATAGCTTCTTAGCAAAGAGCAATTTCTCAAAAGAATTTTGCTAAGACTGTCTGGGAGTGGTCTGAGG